CGTGGAATACCATGCTTCCAGCAATTCCCTCACATGATTTGTACTCCCACGCGCCCGAATCTTCACATTTTCCAGATGGAAGTGGTGGCCTTCTTGGTCTTCATGTGCGGAAACCAGCGAATTCGGATCATGTCTTCTTACGGTGCCTTTGTGCTCGGTGATGAGTGTAGGAAGCTTCCTTCCAGTTTGCCCAAAGTAATTCTTGTCACATTCACTACATTTTACCTGGTAGATAACAGTATGTTGGTTGCTCTGATCGACTTCATGCTTAGGTTTGGAAATCAGTTTCCTTGAAGTGGCGCTACTTCGTGGGTCACCGAAACTCCATGTGACTGTAGAAACTTCCCTCTAAGTTCAGTAAAGTTCTTGATGTACGAGAGAACTGTTCTTTGGTTTGTTAGTTCTCGCGGCTGCTGCTGCTGAAGCGTTAGTTTTCTTAAGCTACTTCTGATGAAATCTCCCGGAAAATCGTTGTTTTGAAATACTCGGTATAGATGGTTTTCGTCCAGCCTTCTCAATTCAGTTGTATTACAGTGTGCCTCCGCTCTTTTGTACAGGCTTTGAACATAGCCCTCTTTGTGGTTCATGGGGTGGTTGCTGTGGTAGTTACTGTCTGAATCTGCATATGTTTTCTACCGGATTACACATGTTGGCATTGTCCCATCGGTGTTTCTGTTGATTAGTAGATCAAAATGGCAACATCTTGTCATTCTCTGATTCAATTGTAAATATGATATCATCGAACGTGCAGTTGAGCAACTCGTGCGTCGTCTGTACTCTGTTTCGTTTTATGGTGGTAAATTCGTCTACATATCGGATCCAAATATTTGGACTGATGAACGGCTAGGTCCGTTTGATGTACTCATGAGTAGGGGATTTTGATGTAAATAAGTGAGGTTCATCGCAGCCAGTTTGCAAATCAGATAGTCGTCCACATGCCCGGCAAAGTACTAGACTGCAGTTTCAGTTTATTGGGCATCGTCGGTAGTGCGCATCCATCGGATCCATCAGGATTCGAACTAATGACCACCAGCGGCTTGAACCGCCAGTCAGCAGCTTATGCCACTGGGCCATGGGGGACAGCTTCGGACTGTCATGATTTACAAGCTAACTGCGATTTAGCGCGTCTTATCCTCCACTCACTGCCATGCAAGTTACGAAGGTTGCAGAGGACAGGGTTGGCCCTGAAAGACACGACGTCTACTAATAGTAGCTATGTACGACATAGCATTTAGAAACTGTCAGGGCAGATATAATTTGAGGTACTCATGAGTAGGGGATTTTGATGTAATTAAGTGAGGTTCATCGCAACCAGTTTCCAAATCAGATAGTTGTCCACATGCCCGAAAAAGCACTAGACTTCAGTTTCAACCTGTTGGGCACCGTCAGTAGTGCGCATCCGTTTGCCGCTCAAAACACACATGTTTGTCGAACTACACTGTTCACCTAACCTGCATGGCAAAGCTTACTCATACGCCGCATGATAAAGAGTACGTGATATACATGCCACGTTAAAACAGCATTGTGACATCTGTACATCACCAAGCCGGCGTCGAAGCAAGTGCCAGTTGGGAATGCCGTCTAGCTAGCATTCACTGATAAACCTGTAGCATCAAGACGCACAACATAACATCACTGGAACGGCTGGTTAAACGATGTGCACACTTCCGCTTCACGTGCTCATGCCGACGCATCGTTGCAACGCACTGCAATCAATGGGATTCACTGCCATCATGCAAACACATAAGTCTCTCCTTGTATATATCATTACTACGTGTATAGCATTATTATTTATATTAGTGTCTAGCCCTCTGATATTGTAACCAATCACCCTTAAAGCAACACTAATAGACGGCAGTGCATTGCGCTCCAATTTCTGTATCACGGATTCAGCAATAAGTCCAGTTATTGGGGATCCCATTAGCGTTCCTTTCAGCCGCTGGTATACCTGTCCACCAAAGCGGAAAAAGTTGTCACACATAGATCCAAAAGTCCATACAAACTACTGGATTGTATGCTTTTGTTTTGCTACATCATGTTTTCGTCGCATCCATCATCCTCAGGATCTCCCAGGAGCATTTCAGAATACTGCTCCATTATAACTGGCTTCCAGTAGGTCTTGTAATGCTCCATTTGCCTTTGAGACGATTGAGTGATGGACAATATGGCGCATGGCGTAGGAGTCGCCCCGAACGCCAGGGCTCTCTGGGTTGTGTTCCAGATTCCTTCGGCATGATGTGTTATCACACATCAACAGACAGTTTTCAACAAAAGCCAAGCCTTTGGAATCCAATAGTTAACGTAACCACGTCGCGCAGTTACTTGTCGAAACTGTGTTTCATGGAGGCACATCCTATCGGCCCATTAATCCTCATTGCTCTAACATGCAGATTTTGTGCTTTAGTGTTTGACATCTTACGCTCCACCCTAATTCTACGTTATGAACGCCCTCAGGACAATGTCGAGAAGCTTAAGAGCGCAATACGCTCGACAAGCCTATGGTTAATTTCTAAAGCGGTTTGGAGTACTAAGATTATTAACCTTGAACAGTGCGAACAAAAGGAGTTAGCAAACGCGTGACGGGATGTGTTAACCTAGTCGGTGGATGGATTCAGGTCGAGCCGTGAATCAGCAGCAGCAGCGGCGGCGGCGGCGTCGGCAGCAGCAGCAGCAGGAAGGTCTAACATGTGAATTACCTGTGGCGCGGATAAATGGAAAGGCCCGATGTTAATTGATACACTAGAAAAGCCATTTGACCTATTGACCTGCAACGCTACTATCCAATAATTCGTGTTATTCCTCGCAACCTTCATCCTACTTTGCCACAAACAAGCTAAGCCAATGGTGTATCGATTCACCTGGCGTGAAGAAACTCACGCACCAAGAAGGAAACTTTGGCACAATAAAACCAACAAGAACGGATTTTTATTCAAAACCCTATGAAGTATATGAATTATGCTTATCGCTACCATAGATTCGTCAGTAGCTTCATTTCCAACCCTGTAAGTGTTCAAGTGACAGTTTAGATACAGTATCCACCTCCAAAGACATGGGAAAACAAAAAAACTCTAATATCGTTAACTCTGAACAAGCTGGATAGTAGGCGATCAGATATGGATAATCTCGAGACTTCGCAAACGGTCACCCTGTGAAATCTGCGGCTATATTTAGTGCTGTCTCCCACTGCAGTCCGACTAAGTCCATGTGTGCAGTTGATTACTTAAGTAATGAGTTTTCGGCAGTCAGACGCGTTCCTTAGAAGATGACGCTAAGGCAGGTATGCTACAGAGAGTCATAAAATTTGTGAACTAAATCGCAGTACTGTTCCTGATAAACGCGGACTTGTCCAATTCTATCTTGACGCAAGAGAATGAATCCGCTCAGCTAATAGCTGTTTCTGCAAGATAAACATGCTATTTACCAATTATGAAATGGCCAACACTTGTTAGATGCTAGCCGATAGAGATTCTGGCTTTTACATAAATTACAGCAGTTTGACAGCCACTTTGTGATAGGTTATGTAGACTCATGTAAGTCTTCATTAAAGGAGAATCATTGCTGTCCACTCAGTACGAGAAAATTCCCTAGGATGTTGATGCATCGCTACATCTCAGTACGTTGCAATTGAAAAACAACCTATGTAATGCACTTAACGCTTGGCAAGGTGGATTAGTGTTGGAAGTTAAGTAAACAAAATTAATTCCAACGAATGAGAATGCTGTATTGGTCACTGAAATATAACTGTAAAATCTTGACTTGCTAACCACGTCCCTCTCAATCTAGTGCGAATTAATCTCCGTGAGTTTATTCACTTTTCTATCAGGTACACCCATGCCTCTTTTGCAGTTTACAGCTAAGTATTTAATATAAACCGATGAAAATGCTGCAAACAGCTTGTTGACTGTCTTCGGAAAACATCGAAAGAGTAGGCCAAGTACATCTCAAAACAGTTCAGTACAAAGAAACGCGATGACACTGTTAACTAAATCATGAATGTCTTCAGTTCATTTTAGATAAAAGATTGGGACAATTTTAGCAACCGGAAACTGAAAAAGTATCATCTTGTCCAGATGCGGTTCCAAGGACCGAATTGGCCGAAGATTACTTCAAAATATTTCACGGTCCAAATTGAGAGCTTGCATTAGAATCCATTCAGACAACGCATGCTCCAAGATGACCCCTACAACCGTGACCCGGAGCGGTAGTTAAGTTGCTCAGGAGTGGAGGCTACTGCTTACATCCAAACGCCTGGGTTCGAGTCGCAGTCCTGACTTCTCTACTATGAGTGCCATCGTGCACGAAATCGACGATAAAGTGTAGCTTTGCGAGCGGGTGACATGTAACACTCAGGCATCAAGTCAATTTTTCAAGCTGTTACGGTATGATAACAAACTACGCCCTCATACAAACCTTTCATCGTTCGAGTGCAACATTTGCAATTCCACTGGTCTCTCGGGTGAATCGCACATCCAATCAGCCCACATAAGGTTCTACTAGCCATTCTTGCTCCAAACAACGTTGTATTCAATAACCCGAAATGTTTGCGACCAGTTTTGTTTTATGCCTGCGTCATTAACTTCATCTTATGAAATCCTCCTCTGGCACCAAATGATCATGTGAGATGTCAGTTTCGACGTAAATTCTAACCCGTGCAAAACCATACCAGATGAATATTGATGTGCATAATGATCATGAATTAACTTCCGTGTCTTGGAATAGCTTCTGCTCTGAGAACTACACGTAAAATTGTAAAGGATTACTACCCGTTTCGAATTAAATTGACGTTTTCAGTACTGGGGCTGCATCCCAATTAGAAAAATTTAGGCCGACGCCGCCTCCGTTGTAGTCGTTGCGACTACAGCTGCCTAAAAACTGATAATGTATATATTTTGTAATGGATAGCATGCTTCTACAACGATAGACCATAACAGAAAGAATGCATATTAAAAAAGCACCGCAAAAATTGGTCTCGGATCATTAAACTGACAAGTGACTCTCACCTATATCGAGGCGGGCAAGGAAATGATTTTAACCCAAGTGCCTCGGAAATCGCTAAGGCCAGAAGTTGAGCAGTACGATACGCAGTCTCCGAGGAGTTCACCTGAAAAAGACAAGGGTGGAAATAATTTTGCAACAAACTATAGGCGCGTGCATAGCAAAAGAATATAGGATTCCAATTAGCTATGTTGTAAATCATGAATGAACTCCAACAGCAACAATCAATTGTGAAAACGTACTCTAAACATTAATACCATCATCACAAATGTTGAGGAGCTGAACAGGATTGTATAAGATGACTAGAATTAAGAAATAGACTGAGCGAGTATATCTGTGAAATCAAGCAGTGACTTGCAACATCTGCAACAGACTAGTATCGAATAAGAGGGTATATCCTAACTGCATCCACGTAGAAGCAGATATACACGCTCTGTGTGAGACGAGATTTCAGATGAAGCGGTATTTGTTGGGTGTGGACAAATGTACACAGTGGTTTGCAAGCATGTTGAATCGAGAAATGTATACGGTAAAATGTGATTTAGATTTCGGTAACCTTTCGGAGTCCCAACAACTCTTAATCTATTACACGACAGACGTCCATCATCGATGTCCTGTGAGTTGGTTTCGTAATCATGCAATTATTTATTCGACCCAAAGTCACTGTATGGAGTATCCGGTTACTAAAACGTATGGTCCGTCGTTCCGCTGTGAACTCCAGTTGGTGTGAAGCATGGCAACTGGTCACTTGTGTAACATTTAACTGTGTTGCTCCAAGTACCACCGTAGTTTAAATACAAATCGTCGAAGCGTCAATCGTGCCTTTGCAACGCACCCCTAGTGTCCTACTAATACGAGCTTAACCCGTTTCATTAGATGTGAAGAGCCACAGCGCCAACAATCGTGGCAAGAAAAGGTTCCAAAGGTTAAACGTATGAACTAGGTACAAAGTTGGCTGTGCTTTGAAATCTCCGGAAAACCAATGAAAGTTGCACTCGTAACTGGCAAACAGAACAACACTACCAAAGAGCTGTTTGGAAAAACCTGATGTAGTTATAGATGTTTGTCTAAATATCAATGTTGCTGTCAGTTATCCGCAGCAGGATTGGGCGAACCCAGGAACGTTGGAGAACGTTTTTGCTTTTAAGTGTTATCAACAATGGACTCCATAAAGAATTTTGTTTTAGCGCGGACCATTCATATTATGATAGGCGATGCTATAGGGCACGGTGCAACCAAGTGGCAACTAGGTAGTTCCGATAGGCCTAAAACTGAGTATGATCAAAGTAGCTGGAAGTGCAATGGGAATAACGGGATTTCATTCCTTGGATACACAGCAGCTAGAAGTTGTAGGTAATTTCCTTCGAGAGCACAAAACCGGCCACAGTCGAGTAATTGCGTTAGTTCCAGTGACAGGAACAGGCAGGGACTAATGAGATGCATCGGCGTTCAAAGCACATTGCCAAATTACATTCGATGACTAATGGTCAATAGACAATTTCCGAACAAAGAAGCTGGTGGTTTACGCCGGATGTATAATGTAACAAATGGAATAGACAAGGCAGCAACCTTGTGACTGTACATGAGTGGTGGCATTTCGGCGAAGACCAGGTTCGAAATATGCCATGGGCAAAGTGGCTGCAGCCAGCCTCGCTCAGAAGACTAGCAAGATTATTTAAGACAGCAGTAAACTACAGCAGAAAAGCTAACAACAAAAGCAAAGCTGTAAGACAAATAAAAATGAGAAACTATCCCAGACACAGACATCCTCTTCGATGGCTTGTCACCAGGTCAATAAGTCGCGAATGAATGACTTAAACGTAAACAGTAGATAAGTGTTCAGTGGACAAGACAGACTGCGTAATCGAGCTAGGCGACTGAACCCAAAGAGATAAGTGTGTGTGTGTGTGTGTTGATGTTCACATCATGTATCAATATGATAGTGGCGGGGTAGAATGACTGCCTGGACAATCGTTTTATGTTCACACAGGTCAGGGTCCCAGAGCTGAATAGTGGTGGTTTCGGCCGCTACCAGTAGACAACATCTAACAATTCGTGTATATCGTCTGGGTACGCGGTAGATGGCATGGAACGCCTCATGCGTTTCGACCTGATGGTTCGAACCAACTAAATGTGCAGACACTGCGCTTGCCATTGTTTTAATCACGCCGCTATACACCCTCTACTTTAAGGCCAAGGAGAGAGATTAGACGTAGTAACATTTAAAGAATTATTAGAAAATAATCCTTGTTATGAATCGTAATAAACACGACTGATATACTTTTTCCTGAGCCGTATTTTGATATGTCATAACTTCTACTGCACCGCTTCGTTAAAATTTCACATTTACCTTCGTGTTGTTTTGGTTTACACTGTTGGGATTTTTGTAATGGATGGTTGAATATCAGTTGTAACGAGAGTTTCCGCGGTAGATCTACATCCGGTTATAGCCCTAGAATTATGTTTCCATTGTTTAAGGTAGTCGCGTGTTCAACCATAAAGGTGTTGTGCTTCGTGTGACTTGGATTGTGACAGGTATTCCATTAGGGACAATGTATTCATCTGAGGCACATCACAGGGAACTTTTTCCTCTTTAGCACTTTCAAGATGTCTGTAGGAAAGCGAATGTGACGCTCAAGTTGTACGGTTCCGCTTCAACTTTAATCAGGCGTAACTATGAGATTGCGTATCGTAGTCCAACCAGGAGATGAGTAATAAATGACAAAGAGAATCGTTGTGAAGGTCCCTTTCAGCTGTTAAGATGTGTAAGCAAACATGAAGTCACTGATTTCGTTAGAATCTTGATTATTTCTAAGTAAAGTGTGTAAACCAAATGGAAACATGTCATGTAAGTCCATTTTTGGATTAGCGACCTATCACTCTCTTATATTTCATACTAGTAAACCTTCCATATGGTTTGGATAATAGAGAAACTCCATAAATTTGTGCATGCGATTGATATATTATCCTAAAATGTCGTTCCACAGTTCGCCTCTAAAACGAAACTTATCAATGTTGCAGTTTTCCGGCCAGTGAGCATGACACAACGCTTCAGCGATAGGGGGAACCTCTGCGTTGGGATGTCAAAGATGTAAGCGATTTCCACTACAGACGTATTCAGGTGCTCAGACTTAAATAAGAAGCAACAGATAGAAATTGTTTTTAGTGATAACCGGGATCGCCCTGCTAAATATGCATTGGAGATGAAAAGAAACTTGGGGTGATGGATGGACAAAACGCTGTTATTACACGCTCCCTTGTAGGAGCAGTGAAGCTACTGTGAACCATTAACCAATGTTAAGTTCATGACTCACTGAACAAATTATGATGTTGGTTACGTATGTCGACTGATCTGGAACTACTCTGCATAAAAAGGCCTACAGTTAACTCCGCGAGATGCGATTTTCACTAAACAACGGAATATGGTTTTACTGGAGCTAGTAGGAATTTGATGTAATATTGAGCACGCTGTATACAGTTAACTAAGTCAAGATTCGCTCAACAGTTGTTAAGCTTTTGGCAAATTTTCAGTTTCTCGCATTGCCGGGAGAATTTTCCAGCAATGGTTGTCCGTTTAGTAGTGCTGTATTTCAGGTATTCGCGGCCAGATGAGTTTGCAAACCAATAGGCACGTCAAGTGGAAAAACTGCATTCACAGTAAGGTAGGTCTAAAGTCTGGTCTCGGAGGCCAAGGCCACTTGCATGAGCACATACTTCATGATGTTGGAGAAGCACGTGCCCGCTTCATTGGATGCCTGTGTATGCCCGGTGAAGTATACATAGCAGAAGCGTAAGAACACTGACACTTGCAGCAGCCATACAATCGCGCTCTGTTTGTTCGTCACACGAAGAACTGAAAGAACGAGTAACTGCTGAAACTAACACAACAACCGTGATACTCGGATACTACTGGGTATCGAGTCGCTGCATAATGTCACACGAAGGAAGGCATATGTGCTGAACCGCAAATCACGCTTTTCGGCATAGCAATTAAACCGATCTGGTTTGGATGGTCTGATATGAATCGGGTTAAACCACGCTGCCGCTTTTCGACTCACCGAGGGTGGTTGCACACAGATTGGCAAGTACAATTGGTACGATTCTTAAAATGAACGGCGCCTAGTTGAATATATCCTGGGAATCTACTCAGCAGAATATTTCGCACATTAGATAACTTGTGAGATAGCCGTTGGATTGAGTGGACAAAGTGACATCATCTAGTCGGACGATAGGGTAGCTCAAAGATCAACCGACAAATCTGACAGCTTATATGAGGGAGGGTAGAATGGATTTGCCCAACTGTTTGTGGCTTAAGCATATATCCCCTGCTTACACACAATATTCCAGGCAAGAGGCAGTTAACGCTGACAACTTATCAAGTACCTCAGAGGACTGCAACCGCTTATGAAGGCGTGAGTGACAGGATCCATGCGGACGCGAGTGTTTCTGCCCCAACATCCGAGGGAATTCACTTTTGTGGACAAATATGAGGGTTGCCTATTCTGTGTCACTCTTTACGCATATGTTTCTTTGCTAAAAAATATGGAGCTTGGGTGTGGACATCCATTCTTCAAGTCAAATAGCCGTGTAGCCATTTGTCTGTGAATCTTTAAGGAGCGGACTTATGATGGCACAATCCGGTACACCACTGAATTGTGCACATTATTTATTGAAAGAAACTGTGACAATGCATGAATGTCAGAGAGCCAGCACAAATTAATTGAGCTAAACTGATTTCAGCCGCGTCAGTTATTTCAAAATGAAGATTTGGAGGGTATGGATTTATCTCAACAACGAAAATCTTATATCTGGACATCAAGGTTACATTTAAAAATGTACCTGTCACTGAGATACGAATAGCCAGAGGATAAATAAACGTAAACATTGATCATTGTGCTAACATACTCTTTACCCCAGACGAGATACTCCGTTAGGAAACCAAAGGTGAGACATTTTAGGTGATGGTGGGCCAAGGACAGTAAGGTAAAAAGAGAAGGGTGGAACATTAGTGAATGACTTTATACCGTAGGCTTTCAGATTGGGAAACGTGCAGATGAAGCAAAGATCGTGGTTAAAAGCTATTTTTAGTTACTTATTCCTATACATGTGGTCATCGAAACTAGCCAGCCGCGTTTCTTGGCGGTGAGTGCTTTGCATCTTTACCGGCGTTCGCGTTCTGTAACAAGTTTGCATACCGCTTTATTTCATTCTGTAGATAGAAACACCGGGATCGCCCTGACACACTACCCACTACCGATGTCTGTAATCTCGTGATCATCGGTGGAATACATACACACGAGTTTGTCACCATTTCTGACAATCGGACAGGCTATATGTTAGGCTGAAAACCTCCGTAAGAATTGTGCGAACCATCTCCAATCATTAACAAATGTTTACGCGATATGTCTAATCCAAAGAAGACAAGGTACCTACTGCAGTGTGCGGCGAACAGGAGGCAACGCGAGCAGAAGAAAAATGTTCAGAGGGATCGCATTAAGTGCGGCTCAGGAGATCAACGGTGGCTACGACATTATGAATGTCAGCAAGTCGATGCAAGGTCTAACTAATGATTTATTATCAACAGTGTCCAACTGTTAAGTTATTCGCGCGAATTAAATAAACCAATGGTCAAGAAAACAGCGTGGCTGAAAATGCAACGATTTCGCTTTCAAGTTTTACAGTCGGTTGAGTGCAAAACTATGTTGCGTTGATCAATAAAACTTACCCCAAGAAAATAAGATCAAACTAACCTGGATAACGGCTAAAGAACGCGGGGTACAAATACTGTCCGGTACAGCCAGGTATTCCACAGGATCAGTAAATGCAGTATTGGTCAGCAACACTTCAATATCCTGTTGTTCCAAATATGTGGATGTTACAGATTGTGAAACAGCCTGGCGACGGATGCGTTGTAGCTGAGGAGAAACCAGAGATATTACTGTATGAGGAGAGAGTCCGTCTTTTCACTCTCTATTCCCAACTATAGATCAAAGGTTAGCCATCTATTAATTTAGGTTAAATCTATCATACTAGACGTTCGGTACCAAACACAACAAACACCCCATTTTTAATGAAGGCAGCCTCACGTTAACTTGGTAGCATGAGTTCACCATTTGAGCAATATCGATGTTCAACATGTTGTCGTTCAACATCCAACGGTAAGTGTAAGTGGCCGAAATAAAGGGTTGGTTTCGGCTAACCATAAGAGCCCGGAAGCTATTACACTACAAGTGCGCATGTCATGAGAGGAATATATGCACGTTCTAACTAAACGACAAGGCTTAAAACCAACATTATTGAATTATAATACAATAACTGTATCATTTGAACACATCTCCATAGTTGAGTGAAGCGACCATTAAAGCCAACTACTTCGTTGCATATAGTGTACTTCTAATGGTTACGTCTAAACTTTCAGTTTAGTTTACATATGTAGAAGGAAGTTAGGCCTTCCGGAAGGTATCCGTCCATTTTACGGAAGATGGTAGTGTCAATAACATGAATTCCGCCATTCAGCATTTCGCGATATTAAGTACGTTGTATATTTATCTGTATTAGATGTGGTCAAATTGACCGGATAAATTGAAATTCCCTCAGTACTATACCTTGACTTGTCGCGACTCAAATTGTTTGGTATGTAAATAAAGGTAAAAATGAAGGCACCGTCTCGCAAAGTACAAGGTTTTCCATCAGAATGGAAGCAAAAATGAACAAGAAGTAGACAGTGAAACCCACAGTCAGTCTTGCTCGAAGCTTTAAACTGCACTACACATTTGTTGCCGATTTTAACAACTTTGTGGGACTGTATGATATTGAGGCAAGCTAAGCTTATGTATAAAAACAAAAATGCTCACCCAGTAATTGACTAATTATACTCCCTGGCAATTTACCGGATTAAGTGTCTGTGTTTAGGGCAATATGGCTTAACTCTCTCAGAAACAACGGGCGGCGGCGGTTAGATTTTTATCAGCTGCAACTGTTACGTATATCGCGAGCGAAAATACCCGGACGTTTAAAGTTGAACTTGGAGAATCCGCTGGTGGTTGGGTTGCTACAAGTAACCTCTATTGAGACTTCGGTTCACTTGAGGTGGATCTCGGTCATTACGATCACAAGGACCGTAGGTAAAATGGAAACATTATAGTGTTGCTCATCCCAACACTGGCACCCTAAGACCGCGGTTTCGTCCTGGTTGGGACTCATCAGTTGGAGATAGCCTGAGTTGGGCTGGAACTCAGACCCGGACGTTTCATCTTTTATCCTGCATTATCCATACATCTACACTCCAAATTATTAGCTGCAGCAGGTAGAAAGTTAGAGTCACCAACACATGCACCTTCACCTCTCCGTAACACGTGCCAGATGTGTCATTATAACCACCTCATGCAAAAGTTTGACGAACTTAGGTCCAATTGAGTTGCAAATAACATCGACTCCAAGCGACTGACATCACGCAAACTCTGAAATGTTTTCCGTTACATAAACCGTCCGGCTTACAGTATATCACCCAAGTGGCGCTCACATTATCGAGGTGAGTCAAGTCAAAGGAGGAGAACATTTTGAGAAGATTTGTCGCAGCTAGATTCAATCAGACAGCCACCGCACATCCAGGAAATCACTAGACGGCCATTTCATCCTATTGAGACTCGTCAGCATTGCGACCACGCCGGATCCTGTCGGATGCAGATCCATGACCTCACTCTAACATGCCAGCGAGTTATGACCCACCGAACAATAGATGATGAAGGTGGACCGCCAAGACTGATATTTAACTGCGACATAACGTGGCTCATCCTCTACTCTCATGCGGGTTGAAAACATGCAGATGATATGACTGGCCGGCATAGCTACGGTTTCTTTGCATAAGACGCTGACTCGTAAGAGTGGGATCGCGGGTTCGAATTTGGGTGATCTGACAGATGTGCGCTACTGACGAGTTCCAATAGGACGACACAACCCTCGAGCACTCTCCCGGATGTGTGGTGGCTGTCTGCCTGAGTCAAGATATAAAGAATCTTCGCAAAAACCCAATAAATCCTCTAACGCTCACTAAGAATATTACTACGTTTTCCTCATTTGATGAATAGCTGTGGATTAGTAACTAATATTTTATTTCACAAAATGAGAAACTCCATACACCTCTAAGGTTCGGCTCAATAGTGATTATTGAGATGCAGGGTCCGGAACGCGAAAAAGTACCCGTTAGTCACAAGACGGAGACGAAATCACTTAAATCACCATGATAACTATCGTAATGTGTGGGCCAATAAGTAAAAGCCTCAAGCGATATAAACGCGGAAGATGCACACTGGAGTGACACATTTCGAGCATGTGGTAGGAAGTTGTACGTTTGTTCATAGGATTAGTTAGCACTTCCGTCAGTCAACATTAGGGCCAGGACGAAGGTCGTAAGTGTGCCGTGTTCAACAGAGTTCGCTCAAACCAGGGAGGGAGCTTTCACACTTAGATAATCCTTGCATCACACTTCAGCTAGAGTTCACCAAAACATTGTGTAACTGGAGCCAGTTTGTACCTTCGGCTATCAACCCAATACGTCCGAATTTTGGAAGAACTTATTCACTATTTCAACTTAACTAGACCCCGGTCGACCGTGATAGCATTGTACTTAAGCAGCTTCATACCGTGCCTCTGAAATTTGAAGACGCAATAAAAAGCGGAAACAGTTGGACCACTGTGTGTGATCCATGAATGTAAATTCCATGTCCTGTCAATCGGCATAAAGGCCATGGAGACAAGATCTTCCATAAGCAACGTAGCGGAGCTATGCGCAGACAGACACTGCACCTCAGGAAAGGAATTTGAATGCCATTCCATCTTTTAGGAGCCCGACAACAATGAACATTCCATCTCCCTCCTGAGAGTGTAGAACCCATACACAACGACTGGTGTGGCTCGGACGAAGTTGTATTGTACTTAATACAAAATCCTCCATGGTGAAATCATGGTCCTTCATAGATCTCGCAAGATGGCCCTTATCACTATCCAATTGCATCCAACGGGCGCAAGCGCCCCCTAAACACGTGCTGTTCGTTATGTGACCAACCCCCTTATCAGAAAATAACATTTCATTCTGTGTATTCGTCTGATATACTATTGACTGATATCGTGTTGCTTAAACAATGAACAGTAGGAATTATTAGGCTTACGCGCCAGTTGGATGCAGACTGATAACGATAAGGATCACATGTAAAGACTTATACCGGACCATGATATCCTTAAGGAAGAAGTTAAAAGCGCCGTGCATCAAATTAACTGAGGAAAGCCGTAGAATTGCACACCCCGTCGGATAGGAGTCAACCTCTTCGTAGCTTGCCAGATCGTGAATTTCGGTCACCTCTCCATTATGATGCTGGTACACCATTTGAGCATTTCATGAAGCACATACAAACACCGGCTCACGTACGTGGAAACTGATCTGAAGCGAGTTTCAAAGCTCTAAACTTTCAGCGACGGTCGATTGTAACAATGCTAAAGGCAAAGCTACTGTCACACTTCATTATACTGCTGGGCGTACATTTGACAACACCGCCTTATAACAGACTTTGTACTTTGCACTAATCTAGTAGAGATAGAAGAACTGCGACTCGAACCCGGGGTCTTTGGGATGTAAATCGATGGCTTTACTTATTTTCTTGACGTGAACCGCAACTTTACTATGAACTTTGAGGAACCGTTAACCTATACACAGCAAGCACCAATTTTAATCTCTCTAAACAAATTTATATGGAGATGTGTGGATTTCTTTCTCTTTTGTCTCGAAAATACAGGGTTCCATGTAACACACCCGCTTTCGCTGCATTCGCGCGCTTGTTGGTCGAGGTAATTTCAACTCGGTCGTTCCGTTGCGCATGGAATTATTTGTATGTGATCCACGACGGATGGTATAGAGTGCCAGTTGATTTAAAGTGGTTTTGATACTTGCGTTGATATGAAACAGATCACCAAAATTCCATATTTCAGAACGAACCACTCGCAACTCGATCGGAAGCCCCAGGAATAACTGAGAGGAGAAAAGGAAATAGTTTTCACAAAAAGGAAAGCTTAAAATGATAAAACGGATGGAAGCAACTGGCTCAAAAAAGGCCTTTCCAATGTTAACATATGCAAAAGGGTGCATGTACGAGTTTCAAATGGTAAATAATAGGAAACCAAACTGAGCACCTCAGCTTTTTTATTTTATGGCCTAAATATATTTTATTTTAAAGAGTGTTAAAGGAAGGGAGTAACTATTCTAGAAGATTAATGGAAATGTTTACGTGTGCCCTCTCTCCTCTACTTTTAGATTAGAAAGCATCTTTACAACATAATCAAAGCTAGTAAACCTGCCATATCGCGTATGCTTAACACATGTGATAGCAAGAGTGGAAAGAATAAATGTGATGCTCGAAAGTTTACAACCAAAAGAATTTTTCGGTTTACTGGTATGAACAATGTGAAGCTGCTAAGCAATAGTGGAATGTCGACAATCTTGATTTATCAGCCGATTGGGGTGAACGTGTGCCCATGTTGACCAGCGTCTAAACAATTGATATCACTAATTACATCGCCATTCATAATTCTGCAAGGGTACATAAGGTTGGTGCTCGGAATGAACAACCAAATGTCCGGATTCCGTGTATAGCGTCAGCTTGATAGTTAAAAACTCTAAGTATTGATAGCAGTTCACATAGTATTTCGGTACGACAAGTTTATCTAGTGTGAAACAGCTCGGCTTTTCAGTGGTGTGAGCGCATGAGATATAACACCTAAAAGTTTTACAGTCTGGCTAGTTAATAACACTCCACATGGGAGCATGCACTTAAATGAGTAAACCGACCAAGTTTAAAACCAGCAAACATTACTTGAGCAATAAAAAAATGAATCTACGTGTTTTACTGGGATCGGTCTTGGTGTGCTTTCGACAATGAGCACTGGAGCGTAGTTGCTACACCTAATGCTAGTTTTGCAAACAAACCTTAAAAACAACGAAAGTTTACGAGCCATAATGTGGAGTGCATCATCTAGCTGCGTACCCATACGCACAACCGTAGCGTAAGATGAGGTACGAATACGTTTGAATTGTAAAAAGAAAATAATTGATAAGCGCAAGACTGAACACATAAAGAAACATCATCGTATGCCTGTACTCCTGCGTCTGATGAAGCTATCTTGTAAAAATGTGAGCGATTTCTATTTTAGAGCGACCTGAAAGTAGTCACGGTAGCACAACAGGCGTTTACCTTTGTAGCAAGATTGCTGACGGATCCGATGTAATGTGTACTTGGTTCCAATTCTCCCCCAAATGCAGTGTACTGTGCGACGTGAGTTCGTTGAGGCAAGACAAGTAAAAACAAATGGGATACGCTAATTATTGTGCGAACATCAATGAACCTGGGCAAATGTGTAATATTCAGGCGCCCATGAAAATAGTATAGATAAAATTTTTAAACGTACAGGCTCAGCCAGACGAACAACACACGCCCGTAAAGGCACTGTAAGGCCGTTACATCATTTTAGAGACGGTCAGCAGTGCGCAGTTCAACTGGCTTCTGTGGGGCTAGAACATGCGACCTGATTAGTACCAGCTCGTGTGGGCGATCAACGCTCATCGTATGTTACTAGATGTAATGGATAGCTCCACTCACTACCCTCTCACTGAGTTGCACGACAGGTTAACCGCTTCACCAAGCGAAGAACTTGCCAAGTAGCATCAAAATTGAGAATCCGGTGTTGATAGTGAAACGCATAAGACTCGTTTGATGTCCTCTCTATGCTACACTTCAGAATGTGAGAAACAGGGCAGTCAAATAGAACTTGAGATGTGGGAAGGTGGATGTACGAAGTGCAAATGTTTGGCACTAGAAAAGGTTTAATCAGATACTTCAGTTCACATTTGACCCAGATGGATGTGCTGAAACTAGTTAAAATTGCATAATAAAAATCTGATATTGTAACAGGAGGACAGCAATCTTCGGTTGCAAGATTGCAAATGTTACGCGAACTCATTTTGTTCTATGTTCACCCAATGTGCTGAATACTTCTGATGTGGCGGTCGTCACACTGAAGGTCGACTGTAGATGTTTGTGGTCTGCATGCATTTTGAAACTGCCATTATGGATTTAACACTACTCTTCTGTTGCTACCGTGAATTTTCATTCTCCACTCACCCATGTTTTAAGATATCGGATGATAGCACGGAGCACGAGGTGGAATGAGTTCAGCTTGAGGTCCAAGAGTAGGTATCTCGTGTTTAGGAAAGAACAGTGCGTCATACCAAGCAAGGAAGAGGCGATTCGCAATGTTGAGCTTTCAGCATATTGTCATTTACCAATTATGCTCCGACTAGAGGTCAAACAAATGTGAATATGCCAATGTTTGTCTGCATGTGGTTTACACCAAGTCTCTGTTTATTACTGCATTGTAATGTTCACTCACACCATGGTTTCACACTAGGGATGTCTTTAGACATCTCAATTGTGACATTAAATATAACCGCCAGGTTTCTAGGATAAAAAATTATGAAGAATCGACATCCGTGAGCAAAGCTGCTGAAACCTGAGCCAACAACTTCACGTAAAACACGTGAGGAAGTTAATCTGGTAAATTCATTCAAACCGCTAGTAGAGGTTGTTGTTTTCCTGTGCACGACAAGCTTTAACGAATAGTACAGTTGTGTTGAAACCCTAGAAATTAAACAACCGTCTTGTGAGATATCCTTCAAAAATGAGTAATAACAGTGAGAAAACTGCTATATACGCATGCCACAAATATGCATATTCAAAATAACAACTCAGGCTGCATCACAGCGTATCTCAAAGCATGTTTCACGTTGTTAACGAACGGAGAAGGCGCTCATGCCCACATGTAAAACCCTTAACTGAAGTTGGGGTGAATGTCTACAGATAAGAACGCTTCTTAACATGTTTTACCGAAAGCCAACAAAGCTTGAATTGCTGGTACTGCGACCATTAGTGAATGAACATGATGACCAAATCGAATGTGCGTGCTAGTGGAATTAGGTACGTGTCCGAATGATCACCGAAAGTTCTGAAGCCGCATTCGAACAGCATATTATTCCGTTGCCTACAGTGTCACTACTGCCCTAACGAGGTGAGTTAAATCAGAACGCGAATCGGATCAATTTCCCCAGTCGAAAATCAACGCAGAAGTCCAAACTGGTATTTTCAAGTTTTGCAGATTGGAACGCCTAGAGGTGCTAGAACACTTATATCACTCTTTATGTGCACCTCTTATGTCCTTAATTCTACCAAACAATTCCTCATCCATTATAGAAATGAGTGGCAGCTTGCGCGTCAATGATATCCCTCAGCTACTCTGACTTCAAGCTCTGACTCTTGCACATAGTAACGTAACCTTATGGTTTTTCGCGTAATACTGTAGAGGGATACCAGCAGTTCTCGGTCGCACTACCCTGTAAATTGCAGTATAGTGAAAAGCTGGTAGAATTAAGAACTAACAAGGATGAAGGTCACACTGTCTTATTCGGTATCCCAGCATCCAGCATATCGAATGAGGGTGGTGCTCCAGATTTGTGGATCTCCGAATGTCATAGCAAACGAACGAGCAGGAAATTTACTAGATGAGTGAAACAGCAAGGTCAGTCGATGTGCAATGAAAATCCATCTTTTTATCCCCAATTTCTTGATGATATAGGTACAGATGGGTAGATGCATAGAAATAGATAATTTTTCTCGACATTGCGTGACACAGACCGAGTACATAGTCTGATCATATTTTACCATCTACTCGAGTAGTCGAGGACGTTATTTCCTGCTTTACAGTGTTCCCAACCGAGTGTTTGGAGTGTTTGATCAGTAAAATGCAATAGCAGATGGAGAAGTTGAGCGTAAGAATAGATGTAGGTGTAGCCAACAGTTCAAGCAAAGTAAAACGACCATCCGTGGAACCGTCTCATGGGGATCTACTGTCAGGCCGGGAAATCATCCGAAAGGTTTCATCCGCGCTTTCAAGTCTCATTTGGTTGCAGCGAAAGTAGTGAACGCTTTCTTCCGCGAGTCAATGAATAAAACTTTGGGGCGAAATTCATGCTCAATGGTAGTCATCCCAACACCGCCCTGCTAGATTTCATCGGAGGTTGATAAGGATCCGAAAACTATCTTGTTTTGCAACACGTCTGATCGTGCAAAACTGACACGTATCCAAATGTGCCAGAAAAATACTTAATTCCAGTTGCCTGTGCAACATATGTCCTCCCACCTGACCATATCTGAACAGCTGCCTACTTTTCCGATCAGCGTATGATCGTTGTGCTGTACACGGTTGCATCATCAGTATCAAGCCTATCTACGCGCGCCCAAAACAAACAATTCGCTTACTTGATTATTTATTTAAACGACTTCGTATGGGGTACAGTGAATTGCGGAAGACTGCAACAACATAGTGCTGAATACTGAAGCGCCAAACTGGATGTAATGAGCTTGGTATCATTAGTTCACGATCCCTAGATGAGCACAGTCCGCGTACTTATCTAATGATGTGCCACCGAGACTCATGAAGCATGACACCGTTTGGTAAAGTCATTTTTTCAACCTCGAACCTGGTAATTTTGATTAATACTTAATTGATGGAAGTCGAAATTGGTTTTCTCCTTCACTGCAGCAAACTATTCCGCGGCAGTAGCTGTCGTTGGAGAGCCGCCGCCTCAGGAAGATGAGAGATTTATATTGATAGGGAGCGCACGAACTCACCAAGGAGTGGTCCAATATCACAGCTAATCGAATGGTGTACACTTGTTCCCCTGCGTTTGTTAGACGAGAGGATTTTCCAGAAAGAACGCCCGTTGGTCTCCAGAATACCGGTAATTTAGCATCTGGATTGGAAAATGGGTATGACAATTACTCTAGACTTAATTTAGTCGAACATTTTCGCTTATTTACTATTGAAGTTAGCGAAAATGACCTGAAAGGTGGCAAAAAGTGTGCCACTTTTTTACACATGTACGGGACACAGATATGCATAAAATTGCAGTGACAGAAACAGGGAATAAGTTTCTGCCGCGCATAATTTAAGCTTCTGTTGCCCTAACCAATAACCGCTGGTATCAGAGCATGTTTACTCGGGCTTCCTTCCCCGTTGCAACGGTGCCCGCGTTGAAGCTTGGTGACAGGTGTCGGATACACAACGGCAAAAGTAAATTAAAGCATACGTAGCTGCGTGGTCTTATCGCAACCTAAGCACAAAATGTGCATAGGTAGTTCGAGCCATTTCAAAGGCGTGATACCAGATAGGCCAAAGTGGGTAATGATCTATCTCTATCTGGTTTATAAAAAGGGCTATTGGAAAATTAGCAGTCACGTACTGGTGTGTGGAACCGGCAAGATTGGTGCATTTCTCGTTATTAATCAGATTGGCCTGTCTCTATGGTGTGTGCGTGCAACTTTCGATAAACCCTATTTGGTGAACCCACTCTCAGTATTTCATTGCTTAAGCATAATTAGGTTCATCGACGTTGGGATGGTGATGTAAGACGACCTCGGCCGCTGACACTGAAGGTGTCAAAAAGCGCTAACGAACACGTTGACCACTTGCGGAAGGAGTTCGAGGTGTTCAATACTTCCATCTTTCTGCAAATTCTCAATGCAGATTTGAAGCTTCATGTAGAGTAGTTGATTCAGGCCTGGCAACCCTGCCTAAAACGAGATCTGGCTACACTGGAGACCCCACAGGGAAGGGCAACCAACAAAGTTAAGCGCTTGTTCCCCCTTCCGTACCAACTACAACTGAATGTCCTAACAGTGTAGGATGGAAGTTTCCACCGTCTACAGCATGACCTCAACCTGACCCATAAGCTTTTGGAAAATCCGTCAGTTTTTCGTTCCCACTTTAAAGTCGGCCGCATCACAAAGCTGAAGGGACTTCAGCTGATGCTGGTAACTCCTTACAGTCGCAAGGAATGCGGCTGGAGTTATCGTTCTCAGGATTTGTCGGATATGGAACGGTAGCCCGAGTACTGTCATTTCTACACCCACGTTACCCATTTTTTAAACCACTTGACAACGCATTGTATCGTCTGCATTACGGGATATACATTGTGCTCATCAGTCCACACGAACTCAGGGTAAGTGGATAAACATTTGTGTTAAGGTGGACCTGATGATGAGTCCGCAGCTGCGCGTTCCTTTTTCCATCAGCCTTTGTTAAGCTTATGCGCGCAAACCATCCCAAGGGGATTGTCAAGCCATGGCTCTTTACCCTAGTATGCCATTGTTCCATTGATAATATTCGACGAGTGTCCTAAATATTCGATTTCGTGCATTACTGATGAATTATTCGCAACAACTCACAATTTATACTTTTTCGGCGCACAAGTTCATCTCCTTATGTGGAAGATTATTTCAGTGGCGTTTTTATAGTTCAGAACTCATCCTATTGGCAGCTGTATAGGCGGCTGCAAGCAAGCCTACTTCTTTTCGCACTGCTATTGTTACTGGTTAATTGTCTATCTTGCACAGCAACTCACTAGCGTCTCAATTACACCCTAACTCCAAATGGAGATGACCGCATGTATTTGACCGGAATTGTGGACCAATGACTTGCGCGTGTGGTGTAGCGGAAGTCGCATTGGGACTTGGACGTGGACATCAAGCGGTTACTTAACATAGGGTAACTTGCACCATTTGGCGGGTTTTCGGAAGCATAGCGTAGTAGTTTTTAAAGTACAAACAGCTTTTTATCGTTTTCCCTTGTATAGAACACATTAACTAGTAACACACCCCAACATAGTTTTTGCAATCATGAAACGCTTCTCTTTCATCGCCTGATAGTGACGCTTTTAATAGTTTGAAGCCGTGTTAGCACTAATCCCTAGTTTTATGGGTTACTGGTAACACACACTGGTAAATACGCCCCAGCACAAACTGGCTCTTTTGAAGGTGAAGATGCCTTCTCCGCAGAAACAATGGGTTAATCCGTACACTGATAAGGACTTCTCCCAACCGAAAGAGGACCTGGATGAAATGCACCTATCTGGTAAGATTGTGTTCCTTAGATGTGGAATTTTTGGTCACTAACTTCTCACTACATCAAACCGCTGATTACGTATGTGCGTTACCTGCAAATCTATTCGAAGTGCTGGAAGAATCCGTGATATTGTGCACTGAGAATGTTCGCCTCAATTCCCAGAACACAGAGTAACGCCAAATCGATGGCGTAGCGATGGACAGCCCAAAAGGCCCCGTACCCGCCGATTTCCTTATACTAATAATAGAGAGAATAGATTTGACAGAAATATCTCAAGTAACCTGCTATAAATGCTATGATATTTTGGCCCTTCGTTCATTGGAGCAGCAGCTCGAGTAATTGCCAGAGCGCCTTAATGGAGTGCAGGCCAAATTACGGGTCAACTGTGAAGTAGAACAGGAGAATTGCTTGCCATATCTGGACATCCACATCAGTCATTGAGTGGATGCATATATTAAGCGGTCTGTTTAACGGAAAGAAAACTGATCCGTCTATTACTTGTACTTCATTAGTTTCACACCGGTTTGGTACAACTGGACATGCGTAAAGACATTATTAAGCCGTGAAAGAAGAATCCGCTTGGCCGACTGTTTGACAAAGGAGCTTAAGTTAATTACAACAACAGGTCTGGAGAACCGCTGTCCTCGAAGATTTTTCGAAAAACAGTCAACTGCGAGAGCTTGGTGCATATGGCAGCTAAGAAGTTTCACATTGTACTAACTTTAGACGGTGTTTTCAACACGCAGTAGACGACTAACCGTATAAGCTCTGCTACGCAGGGAAATTACTACACTGCCCAAGTGGTTGTGATCAACAGAACACGAAGAGAGATAGGCCCAGCGTTCAAAGTGATGATGCGTCACACTAATCCTCGCTTCCTTCGGTTTACCGAGACAATCGAAATAAGCCGTATGGAGGCATTGCACCGCAATGATGATGTCACCTATAATGGCGATGTAACGTCTGCAATCAAGTTGCTTGGCTCGGGCGAACACCACGAAAACTGAACATGCTTCCTAAGTTACCCGCATACCAGATAAATATAAGATGGTCGTCAGTAAGTACGATCACACGCCAATAGCAAATTAACTCCGGGGTCACTAACAAAGGAATCTTCGGTTGCTAATTAGAAAAGTAAGCGAAGTTGAATCCAGTTGCTACGCAACTCCTGTAGCCCGTGTCTCGAGTTATCTACTAACGCTGACGCATGATCCACTCTAAACAACTTGCGGAGCTCCTTAAGGACCGTAAGGATAAGGAAAATAATCTAGGTATCAGCAGTGGAGGGTTTCGGTGTGACTCTCTCTTCAGTGCACTCCAAGACCGACGGTTTCGTCCAGGCTTCGACCCATCAGGTAGAGGTAGTCGAGCTGGGAATGAAACTAGGCCCATCGCCATGGACACCATGGCATTGGGCTCCGCGATAAATACGTGACACAACGGTTAGAAGTTCATTTTGGAGATTGAGATTGCGTGTTGCAATGCAAAAGCTGTAGATCAACTTCTAATTGTCGTGTCGAGCAGTGCTCGCGGAGTGCAATCAACTGGTGTCCTTGGCGATAGCCGCCAAGCCCCATGCGCCGAGTTCCACTCCCAACTCGGCTATCTCTACCTGATGAGTCCAAACCAAGACGAAATCGTCGATCGTGGAGTGCAGTGATGAGAGGGAGTCACACCGAAACCTTCTACTTCGGTGCCGGTCCCATTGATTGTGTTGGCAGAGACGGACTTCAAATTCAACCGAGGCCACAATTGTGATTGCGTGCCGTAATACAAGACACACGGCAGGTGCTAGCAAACCCAAAAATAGGTCTCAGCGGTTTATCACACAGAGCTGTCGTCGACCTACTTGTAGGAAGTAGACTGATCGGTTGTAAGGTACACCTCAATGATGCTATGCGGCTGGTACACTTGTCAAGTATCTCACCGTTTGACCTACATCGCACCAGTGTGCAAACGCGTTGTCTATCAGCACAACACAATTTAACCTACGACTTAATAGCTAGCATCTGATATGATCCAGTGAACTTGGACTAGGCTACACACAAGCCACTGCAACTGCACCAATCGAGATTAAGTATGCAAAAATGCCAAATAAATTGGCTGCCCTTAATTTGCCCAAAGGGGCCGAAAATAATATCAAAAACATAATAATAAAAGCAAAGTGCCTCGAGTCCCTACCCATGGTCAAAGAAATACCAATGTTCAATTAAACTCGGTCTCTCAGACACTGTAAATTTATAACTAGGAATAACCAACTTGCTCACTTGTGGAGTTCGACCGAACACGCCAACCTACAGTTCTGGCACTGCAGACCGCACTACTTCCGCCATTCAGTAAAACAGGTTAGCATACCGACAAGTAATAATGTACCTCTATGCCGCCAAGCCAGCGAAATAAATTCCAGCTTGCCACACACCTTTTTGGACCGAAAAATATCCTAGGCATCTTCCCTCCTTTTCGGCCTTTCCTCCTTGACATGTTATCCTATACCCTGCATACCGAAATGCCAATGACCTTTCCCTCACTCCACCAATATCAACCCATAGGGTTCGCTTGAAACACACCTTAGATGGTCTTCTGAGAGAGGATGCGTTTTGTGTCCTGCCTATAAATGCTATTTGCATTTTCTCGATGACCTCGTTTTATGACTAGATTCTCAGCTAATTCTCGTTACCGAAGTTCGGTGCAAAATACATAACCTGGATTCCGCTCCATTTATTTCCGCTCATCAAACGCTCGGAAGGGACCACTACAGCAGACGAAGGCGGGTGTGCGTTTTAGTGAAGCTTCGTCGCAGTTAGACGCAGGCAAGCGGCCATCACACATTCAGGAAAGCGCTAGACGGCCGTCTCGCCCTGTCGGGACTCGTTAGTACCGCGCACCCACCGAATCCTTCCGGATTGGAACCCACGACCTTACTCTTACGAGCCAGCGACTTGTGCTTTCGAGCCGTGGATGACGGCAGCGTACCGCCATGACCGATATCTAACTGCGGCCACTCGCCCAAGTCATGTGACGCATACTTCCTGGATGACATTCCACTTTGGTTTGTTGAAGACTCTGCATGGCTAACCGTTTCTGCGGGTATCCAACTGTGATTGGCGCTTCAGCTGATTATATTAACTATGCCTCTGTCCTACCGTGTCAATATCAGCTGATCGGAGGAGGATTTTACTATGCCAGGCAACAACGGGTACAGCTTGATTATATTCTCAAAGTACCAGCAATTACATACCGACTTGATTGCAAGCGCCCGGACACAGAATGTCCATGCATTGGACCCGCTAGTACCCTCGATCTTTTTCTCACCACAGGAATACCGCCCTTGATTGTCTCGGATTTGAGCATATTCCACGACACCGTGAAATGTACTTTTGCGCTGAAGACAGCAAACCGAAGCAAACAAACGCTTAAAACATTCGACTTGCTAAACTGGGGCAGTTTCACTGTTCTTGTAAGATCAAGCAACGGGTAGATTTTTTCTATCCATTGACAGTTAAATAGTTACAAATGAAAGTTATTCAGTTGTTAAACAGTGCATTGATATCACCACCCCAACACTAAGCAGTCAAAGTGGCTCGCAAAATAGAGTAAAGAAGAAGACTACATCAAAACTGCACCGACTCAGAAAACCACACCATAAAACTCACGATTTCTCGATATTCAGGAGAATGCAATCCATCTGGGAAGCACTACGCTGCAAATGGAAGCCAAGCTGAGAGCGCAGAAAATACCAGCACTTAATGGCGCCAATCAATCAAAGCATTTACGGGACTGCTAAACATGAGAAACAAAGGTAGACATGGCACCTATGATGATAAATGACGCCTAGTGGAACTACACAGAAGCATTTTGCGAGGACCGTAGACTTTCCCTTCTCGGAAGCCCAAACTCTTGATTCGTTACCAATTCCCCGAAAGCTCTTAACAAAAGCGATCGATACTTTTTTACATATGGTTCACATCAGACAGTCGATAAACTATGGCCCGGATGGTCTCCCGCTAGTCTTAACTGGTACTGTTAGTCCTGATATCCCATTTCTATTTGAACTTGTTGACCTCGGCGATATCCACGAGTACTTTTCCGACTTACTAGAAGAAGTCCGTCATTATACCTAGATATCGCCTGATGCACTACGTAACAGCACGAGCTATGACCCAAGTACCCATATCCTAGTTATTATCAGGATTTTCTTTCCGGAACTCGACGAATTAGCTGCAGAAATAATAGGTTCTTTTCGTCTTGCTGGAAGAAAGCAGCGTGTCTACCTTGAGTACCTAACTCAGGGAGGCGTGGATAACCCAACCGGCCCACCTACACTAGTCATCACCCGTTGGAAATCCTGGTTAGAAGCTGTCGCATATCATAGCAAGGATTTCCATCATAACTCAGTTATTCTGCAAGCTGTGCAACATGAGTTTGGAGACTCAGCTAGTGTTTGTAAACTTGTGGATCTGGTAACCAACGAAACAACGCAGAAAGCTTTAAAGTGACAACTGATTTGCATCGCGACCGTTGACAAAACATCATCCGTCACTTAGAAACTAGCGATTTACAGTCTTCCTGTAACCATAGGATTTACGATGACCTCTCCGAACTATCCATGTCGCTGAAAAGTGCCGCTGAGGAAACCTGGCTGCGGCATTTCATGCACAGGGACTGCGCTTTAACGCATCTAGCAAAATCAAACTGACATACAATGTTGCTCCTCCCAAATTGCAAAAGCCTTGGATTTGCTTACATCAGGTGCTAGTTGATAATTTCCGAAATGCTCTAGGGTGCTGGACCCCAATCAGCTCATCACCATGCCCAGTGGTCCATGCAGCTATGTCGACATTCCAGACTCTGTCGCTTCCCCAGCTCTAATGGCCGAATGGCTAATCTACAGAAAAGTAGTGAAAGAATTCCATGGAGAAAATGCGAAGACATGCTGGCATTCTGATGCGGAATGCATGGACAAACTCCACAACAGGTAGATATTGCCGGTCGTTATCGACGCACTCCTGTGAGTTCGGCAGACGCTGGACGAAGCCTTAGTGCCTAAAGAATGTGATTAGTGACAGACGTCGCAAGCTTTCAAACGATAGCAAGAAGCAACTTGCTGGGCTTTTTTACTTATGTTTGCGGCATAACAGGTATTTATATAGTGGATGAACGTGCATAGAATTCTGTTCACTTTGAGCTTCGTCAGTAAAGCATGAAATTTTGTGCTAGCATGGCGAAAATTTCGCGAAAATTTCGATTTTAAGCGCGGAAAATATATGTAACCACTGTAGAAAACTAGTGTCTTTGCTTGCGCCTGATACGACTTTGATAAGCTATTATTAGCAACAAGGAAAGTGCATAAATTGGCATCCAATTTATATAAATAAATAAAAGTTTATTCGTAATAGGGACGAAACACGACAGGATGTGGAATGATCAGCAAACCTGGTAGTATTGTTTTAGTTGCATGGTGATTAACCACAGCATAATGGTATTTTTTATAGTATCACGTTAGCTTCCAGCGACGTTAAATGTATGAGAGAAAATAAAGTTAGGAACGACTTAAAGTCGTCGTCTGCATACTGTCTACATTTTAGAATGGCGAAGACGAATAAATGACACAAGCTGTCCTCCACTTCTGTAAAGAAATAATGTGATTCGTGGATAAAGTGATCAGCGATCTCGTGAGCTGGGTGCATATTAGTTACTTGTAGAATTGCTAAATTTCGACGCAAATAGCTGCCATTTACTAGTATCAGATTTTCTGACAAATGTATTCACGACAAGTTTGAAGTAACCTGTATACTTGCATAGTTTGACTACGAAAGACCAACATTTATCAGGCCACAAAATGAGTCCTTTTTGAAGCACCTTAGTCTGGTTTTTGCGAAGATTATGAGGCAATATTGGGAGGGGAAATAGCTACTTATATCTAAAAAACGAAATCAAATACGGTAAACCCATAGCATCTTATCCTTCAAGGGTGGAACGTACCTCTTTCAATTGGACTGGACACCTGAGGATAAACAACATGTGGTAGCCTCCAAGGCTGGCAATCCGAACAATGCAGCGGCAGCACATTGTAGGTCTGGTTGTCGATTTGGACCATGCCGCTGGGTTAACAGAACGAAAAATAGGCCACGAGATGTCAAGGATGATGAGAATTCACCAACCTGTTAATTGGTATCTAGCAATAAAAATCTAAATTGAGTTGGCATAACTAATCGAAACCTAATAAAATGTAGATGTTGGATAGCTAATAAGGAAATATTCATATTGCTTTCTCCATAGAAACCAAGATGCAATCGCATGGACATCGATCATAACATTTCATTAATTGTCCGTTGATAAAATAAGATATATATGTTTTCGCCTTCCTACATGAATTAGGTGTCCATCGGCACTTCCAAACATATTGCTCCAGGTTACATTTAGATTGATGGTCCGCGATACCAAATTCATTTAGGCAGTTAGAATCTGCAATGAGTCATGCTGTGTGACTATTATCCTCTGCAACAAGTAAGTTAAAACATTATGACAGCCTTATGAAGACTCTTCCTTAACTCCTTTTCTTGATCCAACTTTTCATCTGCACAGGTGTGCTGCCGGACTGGACGTGCGTCTCTCCATTTATCATACTCGGGTCTACTAATTATGCGCTTAGAATTTCAAATTTCTACTTGAAATCATTGGTCAAATTGCGGCGCAGTACAAAGGTCGAACATCGCTACTATTGGGAAGCCAAGCATCTCAGTCCATGGCAAATCTGAGTCAACTCGTCCGGCATGTGCATCAAATCCCTCCACGCGATTTATGCGCGCCACATCGACGTGATGCTTCAGTTATCTATAATGTTGCGTATAAAGAGTAACTCCCAGAATTTGTCGTTCAGGTGTATTATGCACACAGGTCTTCATTTGTCACTGATACTGGTGATGATGTTTGACAAATAAATATTCGCATCCTCATGCTGTTCCAACCGCTTGCTTTGGTCAATATGATCCGATTTGAGCACAAACTCAATAAGGATATAATTACAGATGAAATGTAGAACGTTGGATATATTCTCTGGAAACTCGCTTACTCTCACCCATCTCTAAAGCGTTCTAACTTCAAACGGTAGCAATCCGTTTGCTAACATCAATTAAGGTTGATTCACGAAGTAGCAATAGGCATTTTGCGTACGGTAGCTACTTTTAGCCCCAACGACGGCTGTTTCGATGCTGCGAATGATGCATTCCTCCAAGAACTGAAGGAGCTAATACTCTGTTATGCAACTTTAAATATCGTATGTGTTGCGAATGATAAGAATGCTAAAGCAGGTCGTTTGAGCTCCACAGAAGCAAAGCCGGGTGATAAACATGAGGTTAAGTTCGAATGGACGGCGCGATCATGCGCGGCGCATCGACTTAGCAGCACTCCTAATAGGCACAACGGGCGTCATAGGTCCACTTGCATTCCCCTTGTAACGAGGTAGCGACGAACACAAGCAGATCATATTGCCACAAAGTACAGGTGGCGAGGTTACCTCTTGGACTGTCACTCGTTCTGAAGTACGTTGGTTCACTCTAATCATGCTTTAGAACATTAGCATTATTTTCATGAACTGTAAAGTGGGGAAACGGTTCCCACGATTGGCAACTGAGAATTTATTGCAGCCCTTCCTGAAGTAAGCATACCAGGATAAACTTTTCCTGAGAAAATCAGGTTACGGTGGAACAAGTGCTCATTGGCTATACATTAGGCGAAAGTTTCTGCCTGCAGCAACATCAGTTGTCAACGCACCAGTCACTGGATCCCCCAGAAGTCCATGGACCTGTTGGGATGTAGTAGAAAATGCCCTGCTGACTATGAGCACAATAGAAGTAGCAGCACTGTTAAGCGCGAAATAAAGAGGAGCTTGTGAGCTGCAAAGGAAGCCTAGTGGACTAGTAGGGTTGAAGAAATGGGGGAGGCGGGAGCGGTAGGCAATTTTTACCAGCTCCTCTATTGATCCGCACCAAACGACCTAATTATCCAAGCGCCAGTGAGACAAGCAAACAGCACTGGAGTCGGTTGATACGTTGAGCTGAATTATTTCGGTAGCAATTCCTTTGGCCCGCCGCGCTTGTTCCGTTTTCTGTTCAGGTAATTCAGGCCCAAGCATGATCGGTCAACCTGGAGGCGCCCTCACTGGCTGAGATACAAAACGCGGTGATACACTTCAATCCTTTTCGCAATGCTGGTATGGAATCTCGTATTCGCCCTAGTTAAGCATGAAGGTGATATCCTCTGTAAAGCACTGGCTCAACGGTTCGAACAGCTCTGCAAGGAGGAGACCAGTGCAGTTAGTTGCGATGGAGTAGATCGATCATGGTGCCAATATACATGTACAATCTCACAGACCGTGCGAATCATAAGAATATTAGTCTAACCCCCGTATTGGAAAAGTAACTAACATCAAATCTAGTCCGTTGACTTAGTTCGGAACGCGAATCCCGGATTAGGGAAGGACAGAAGGGGTTCGGTTTAGGACGGAACTCTATGGCAGCTGTGGAAGCAACGTCACACATACGGCAGACCACCAAAAGCCGCGTTTGACACGGTCGATCGACCAATTTGATTACAAATACTTGCATGGAAGATATTCCTAGGAAGTCTACGAACATTTCACGTGCCCTATACTCAAACCTCAGAGGACGCTTCAGAGTCCACGGTGATTTGACTGACATCATTCCTATAAGTGGCTGTCGTCGAGGATGCGTAATTTCCCCATTTTGTCAAACGTCTTCGTGGACGCGATCACGGAATATTTCCTTGCGGTATGCTTATGCATGGGCGTTGAGGTGCTACCTGGTGGAAAACGGATCCATACTGATAATGCGGACGGTATCGTCTTGCTGTTTAACAATATTGGGGTAAAATAATTCAGCCCTGAATGACATTTAGTGTGATCCCATCATTCAGCATGCGCTTCGAGCCTTCCAAGTGCAGTGTTTCGTTGCAGAACTGCCAGTCACTTGATGATGCCTTGACCCTTGATAACGAGGAACAAGGTAGTTGATCAAATGACGGCTGCATCAGCAGCGATTGGCACATAAACACTGAAGTCAGTTCACGTGTTGTAAAAGCTAAAACTGCGTTTTTGAAAGCGGCAACATCTGTGGTATCACAAAAGTTTTCTCTCGGTCTGAAAGGCCGTGTTTCCAAGGCCACAGTGAAGGAAATCGTACTCAATGGGAGTGAAAGTTGGCCCCTTCGGTTCAAGGAACTAAAATGAATTCAAGTCCTTGAGTATCGTTGCTGACATAGCATTTCTGGTGTCGGATGGCTGCAACGTAATCTCAAGAATAATGTGTGTAGGTGACAGATAGGCGATGATAATCTGGCTAGTTGCTTATAATGAAAAATAACATTGAATGCGTTGCATCGGCCTGAGTGAGTACAACGTATGCCGGGTCATATTTTACAGAAGAGAGCCTTGGTTTGTTTACCGGATGTAAGATGGCGCAAGATTGAGGTGGGTAAAAGTTACACTGGCTGCGGGAAATGAGGTTAATGACAATAAAATTAGCTGCCGTCTGTTCGTCTCGCCTTCGAGGCTGGAGTCCACATGACTCGCCTGTTGTTTGCCTCAGGACGTTATAGGCCATGGCTTGCAATGGGCACCAGTATCGGGTTTGATGTCGTCTCGCAGTCGGACTGTCTAATCTAAGTGTGTTTGGTGCTCATCTATCCGGTGTACTGGGCGATTGTGATGCGGGGCAGTGAAATCTGCCAAAAATGTTGTCTTGCCGATGTCGCGATATTGTTGCACCATAGCCAAGTGCCTGTGATTGTATGTTGTTAACATAAGGTGTAGGTGCCTTGATCTTTGATGCGTGCGTTGGTCATTAAGGTCCTACGCTAGGTCCCGAATAATCTCCCGCTCCTAATTCTTCATTCCTTAGATCACTGTGGTTGTACGGCAGTAACGTATCGATTCGAATGGTCAATATACTTCTGTTAGCCATGATGATGCTGACAAGGAGGAGGAAGGTGATGAAGTGGTCGGCCTTTGGATAAATGACCTATACGGAAAGCACTTGATGATAATAATTCTAGTCCTTCTCGAGTAGCACACTCACGTAGTGACACAGATGCTGAGCAGAAAAGCACCGAGACTTGTAGGCAAGCACATCCTCTCGATTTGGGGTCACAACAAAAGGAACAATAGCTAGCCAAATAAAGGGAAATAAGGTACCATCTTAAGATTTAATCAGGTCCCAAACTACCCAAATATAGCATAAATTTTATACATTGATTCACATCCTCGATTAAAAAACACTCGTTGGGTTACTTACCGTAAACCATGACAGGTGTCCACGGCCACATAGGAATTCATTTCTGGGCGGTCTGGGTTCCGTCGAACCGTGCCGGTATAAAAGCAATGATCAGATTTCTAGAAAGGAGACCGAGCAGGTCAGGTGGTTATTTAACATTCTAGAATGCAAGCATATAATTTATCTCTCGACTTTATTAGTTGTTTGGAATGCTTCATAACGATCTTGTGTGGATTTATTACAGAAGCCATGAACATTCGGTATTCAGGGGAACCAGTAACGTGAATGAAACTCAAAGCACAAAAGAGAACGTATCCCGCCCGTCTGAAACTATCCCTCTTTATGCGCAGTTGATGATAAAGCCTTCTGTGAACACCGATGTCATGTCATTTGCACAGCATTGCTAGAATCAATTATGCGAAAACCAACCGGCCAGTAAAATGTGTTTATTTCAGATCTGCAGGATGCAAACAGTGCTTGCGAAGTGAATGTTATTAATTTAACCTAAGACAGCAATTTGGAAATCTGTAGTTGGTCACATAGACCAACAGTTGCATGTTAACCTGATAGTTAAAATGCGGCGCTTCATCATAAATTATGCTGGTACATAACCGTAATAAACAACAGAATCACTTGGTCCCTGGCGCCATCGCAGAAAGACGAAGTAGGTAAGTTGAAAACGAACACCGAAATATTTTGCCAACGATAAAACTAGTGGCGCTCATAACAAGTTACGGTGACGCTACAGACACTGATACACTAGAACTTTTTTGGTGAAGTGTAACACGATGTCTCCAAAACTTTCGAAAAAGGAGACAATAACCGGCTAAGTGTACATTTGGTTCATGTGAGACAGCAACCCCAGTTTCCATTAGTACTTACGATGTTTACTTGGTATATAAGGCAGTCTGATGCTTTAGATAATCCATTTACTCATTCACACTTTATTACCGTTGGCATGGACCATGCAGTTTGAACCTGTTAGCGCTACCGTAAGTCGAATTTTCAATTATCCGCATTTGTGCTCGGATACATCAGGTGGTGTCGTACAACTATATTCTTACAAGTGGAAATCGGCAGTTATTGTAACACGCTGGCATAAGAAGAGAAAATGAAAAGCAAATATCGATAGACTTTGATGCATTTACATATCCAAATGCAGCTGACGGACCACCGAGAATATGATCTTTTGTGTCTGAAAAGGATTGTGGGACTGAGATCTGGTTGTCTCATGCAAGACAATATTCTGGTCAAATTCAAAATTTCCTCTTAAAACCTAGCGGCATCGCCGAAGCCGATCTGCGGAGAAGCACAAACCAGTCTACCCTAAATAGGCACTGCTATTTGTTAGTACTGCCATTTCCGCCTAGTTCAGTGGGAGCTGACCAGTAAATACAGTTCAACTTGGTATACAATGTGACAATCAAATCCAGTAAGTAAAAGCATTCAATTATGTCTGTTGCTAAATTGAAAGAATTAATTTAGAGCCAGTAAGACTATGATCGATAACACGTAAGCTATGTGTAACTGGGTCAGTAAAAATCGCACAAAGTAACACCGAAGAGACTGATACAAATACGGGGTTATTAACTCTAGTCGATTTTCCGCCATATCGCTGTGAAATGGAAGTGCGGATGGAGGAAGTATCCACTTACACTAGAAGCGAACGGGTATGTCTGACCGTCTCGATTGCGGTGATAGTATAGCACAGTATGCGTGCTCGAATGGTCGAAGATGCTGAAAATAGAAAATGCAAAAAGAGACAGCTGCTGAATACGAGTAAATTAGAAAATGTACGTGTATTTATCCCTCAATAAGTTAAACTATCTGAAGTGAGATAGTCAGCTCAATAGAAAGGCAACCTTGCTAACGAACACACAATATGCAAAAATTATAGCACACTAAAAACATTATGGAGAGGATGCATCAGCACTATCTGATAATAAGGGTGCAAAATGGGGAAACCACCCGACCGTTTGATTGACAAAATTCTAGCTATAAGGAAGCTTTACAGTTTAAGTGATCAAGGTACGTGACTGACCAGAATGAACATCACACCTTCCTCTAACAATTGAGTGTCATAGAACAATTTATTGGATTAAACAGGTTGTTTCCATAGAGCCAATTAGATAACCAATGGAACATTGCTCATGCCGCATCTACACACTAGCATGCTAGTGTATTTTCAGCGGAGATATCTACAAGTTTCTCACTAGCATGGCTTCGTTGAAGGGCCGTTGGTGTCACGTGTTGTAGTACAAATACCACGAAGGCACGGATGTTTGCCAGTAATCAATGGATGCCAAACGTCTGGTGCAAATCTGTGACACGATAGTTATAGAAACGCAGATAGTCTACTTAATCCTCGGAATGACATGATTGGCTCGAAAGTCTAGGATCCCTGTTTTAAATGTTTCCTTTCCACTGAGAGTCGGGTCCCGATAGCTTGATTTCTAAAAATCAGCTAGCTGCCAGATTTCCAACAATGGACAAGGATTATAATGAAGTAGCGCACGGTGGCACACTATAACCAGATACGAAAATATGCATGAAGCCGATCTCATGATATCAACGAACTAATGGTACATTTTTCTACTACTAATATGACTTAGAAACTTTTAACGTTCCGTAGCACAATATGGGTCAGGAACAAACATGTTGGTAACAGGAACGTTACCAACAAAGTAGAGCATCATTGGTAGGATCATTTTGAAACACATGTTGTTATGGATGAAATCCGACACAATACAGTTTGAAGTGGAGATCGGTCCAATCGGCCAAGAATTGCTTTGAACAGCTGTAATTCTGAACCCATTAACCAGGGGTGCGTCTATATGACTGTTCACAATATGTAATCTCCTATTATAGAAATGCTATTGGGTTGATGGCGCATATAAATAACCTTGCATTTAGCCGCATTATCAAGTAGAGACAGTTTGACTAATCAGAAGCTCCGACCAGATCTCAGTGCAGCACCCCCTCATCAGTGGTCGGTTCAGTCATCTACGAGAATACATGGAGGACGAGCATTGAGTGGTAGTTTACTTATACGAAACGACACAATGTCTTATCTCGAGATGTTTCCAAACTAATATAGCAACTCAGCGATAGCTTAAGTGAAGGCGACACAAATATATCCTGGTGTCTGGGGATAGTCGTATACAGGTGGGATGAGCCAATGGAACATAGTCTCGAGGTTGTCAATGTGCGTAAGTTCGGCTCGGCTGTTTGGCACGTTTACTCATGCGTACGACACTTCCGATACAATTCGTCAAGGACTCTTCGCGTGAATTCACACCGGCCCGTCTCCAACGCATCTAGAAAGGCATTTGGTCGCCATTTCATCCTAATCAAACTTGTCATGGTCGTCTACTGCCGTCACCCATGGTCTAAAGGTATGAACCGTTTGTGCCGAGATCGCATGGGTTGGGTTCCCAGTGGATCCGGATGATTTGTTCTACTAATGAGTCCCAAGAAAACGACAGGGCCGCTTACCGCTTTTTCTTATGCGTAAAAGATCGTCTGACTTTGGTTCATTGGGATTAACCCACAACATTTTAAATCACTTGAGACTGTTGTACATAGTTCGGCCGCTTCTTAAAGTTCTAGAGGAACTGCATTTTTCATGTAAACACTAATACCCAGAGCAAGCTTTTATTTCCTGAGTTCAATGTTGCTAACCGGTAGAAAAACATGAATGCGCTCTCCAAAATGTTAGCCTCTGTCCTGTTTATATATCATTCGTGTAGATGCGAGAGATTAAGATGACTAGCCACTCAGTTTCAGCTTCACTGAAAACCCTTGAGTAGTTTGAGCTGGCAATCTCGAAAATCACATGACTGCAGCAATGGATATTTTAAAGCTGATGCACAGGTCACTTATCACATACATCTGTGCCCATTTGCAACCATGGTCATAAATCGCCTCAACTACTAAAGCGCGGTGACATACCTTAGGTTTCGTTTCTGGAGACGAGGCCAAGAACATGATGCCAAAGGCGGATAAGTCACCGAGAACAGTCGGTCTGGACACACATATGTCACACATGGAAAAATCTCTGCTGTTGCTATGGTCGACGACATAACGGAGTCGATAGAGACAGTGTTTGTGATTACAACGAGTTTCCGATGTGTGCAAATACTAATTGTCGTCATGAAGCGTTTCTCTTCCAGTTTATAAATATAAAGGACTCAGAACACAATTGTTAGAATCAGAGGTGCTACCAAGGTGCATCAAGTCGATTTGACGAGGCTGTCCGTTATCGATCCTAGACAGTTAAAGCTATCTGATTGTCTGCTTTTTTCGGATGACTGGCGCATGCCGGAAAGTCACCGTCGCTGCAAGCATGAAGCTGGATTAATCAGTTGACTGACTACATAAGGTACTTATGGATTGTGGAAATTAAGACCAGGCAGGTGAAGCATGTTCACTTTCGTAAGCACGATTTACAGTTTCCGATGTCGACTTTCCATAAAAGTGGACCGTGTGTCATAGCGAAACTGTGTGGTATGGTGTGTGAAATAACCCCTAACTTAGGCAACAGTAGAGCGCCCAGTAAGTGAGTAGTGGATATTCAAGACCGGCAAGCATTTAAGTGATACAATGGATTCCACTAAATTTGGTAAAACCACAATTTAGAAGCCACCTACGACTCGAATCCTGATGTGCTGAATTTAGCTTTTGGTTGTGTGTATGGATGACCCCGAAGGGAGGCATCTAATTGTGATTCTGAGGTCAGTAGTTCACACAGAATGCACGCATCAACAGCTAATATGAAACTTTCTGTTGTAGAATAGGTCCAAGTTTTGTGTCCGGTACTGTGCGACTTCTTTGCTAGAGTGACCGAACAATTGTGTCAGCGTATGGTAGGGAATTAGCAATTGATGATGGGACATGCCATGCGCGAGAAATGTTCAAGGTGGTTAAAAGGATAGTAACTTTTCTTGAACTTAGTGTTCCGCAAATCTCACTTGAGTAGTCAAGCGGAAAACAGCGAGTTAGTCGCTCAGTTCGGAATGAAGTCGGTTAGACTTCAACATGCTTTAAGGCATAAACCCAAGGTCACTTCAAAGTTGGAATGTGACATGCAATATCTGTTGAAACTCCTCGGTGCACTTTGTAGATATCGGACATTCTGAGCACAAGGACCGTAGCCGAAATGGAGGTGTTTCGAAGTTGCTCTTCCCAGCATTATTGGGAGAAGCATGTTCGCATTTCCGATCGACCACATGAGGCCAAAGCCATAGACAGGCGAATCAGTTACAGATAACTAGCTAATTAGAAAAAGCGAATTTGTCTTGGTGTTCTGTGGTTCAAGATTATGTTTCCGGAAGGTATCAGTAAGTACCAAGCAGATATCGTCCCTGTCAACTACCCATGATAACATGAGATACACTGCAGCTGAACAAAGATCGAAAACTCCCTCTCGAAAATCGCTTAAAGACAGCTCTGTTTTTATATCTTACCGCCGTCGGAAGAGGTTCAAACTACCATAGTGTTTACCAATCTATGTCTAGGTGAGTTTTTTCGGCGCACAATAACCAACACATGGGTATCTGGGGTTGCAATTCGGGTTCAGCGAATAGCTCGACATCTCAACTCGCATCCCAAATCGGCAGCCGCGAATATTCCCAAAAATATTTATCAATAACATTGGGATTGATGAAAGTACAATAAAAATTATATATTGTGTGCAGCCAATGCGTCATCGAGTAACCAAGCTCAGGACGATTTCGCCGTCGCAGCCATACGGAACACAATTCAGACGATCATGATGAATAGCACTGATGCCCGCTTAGTTATTTGATTGTAGTCCTTCACATAGCCTTTGCTCCTGCTTAAGCGAAGTAAGAGAATGGTGTTCTGTTTGTATCACAATAGAAAATGTAGTTCATAAAGCGGACCAATCAGTGAGTAAACTACTCCTACATCATATTTTGGCTGGTTATTCATGCTAGAGGTTGGCAAATTGATATCTTCCAACATCACACGAAAGATGGATTTTAGATGACGAAAAAGATTGCAAGCCAGGATATTGTTTTCATTTATCCGATTGTGTATTCCACCTTTCTAGCGATTCAATCATTGTAACGGTGGCACAAAAATAGGCGATGCGAGGATTATTTCGACGAATGCTGCATTGTAGGTCTGTACATGAGGGTCACACAAAGATTAAATAGTAGGAGCTAAAGAGCAAAGACAGAACCATTAGAACGACGTTATACATATGATTATTTGGCTGTCATCATTCGGCGATAAGTTTTATGTATTGGCACATAAATAGTAGTTTCATGGTTAGCTTTCGCGTGACAACGAACTATGGAACCGCGAAGAACAGCTGACAGCCCTTTGTATTGGTGATGACTAGAAAGTGGCTGCGCTACACTTCTTACCGGTTCTCAGATTAACGACCTTTCCTCCTTCAATCTCCAATACAAAGCAACCAGAAAGTATTCAGCCTAAAGTGCCAATGAATCTACACCGACCGTGACGAATGACTTCGTAATATTCATATAACAAGGGCGACAACGAAACTGCCAGCCAATAAACCTCTGAGAATATTCAATATCACAGAGGAGGCATGGAACCGGTTGAGATATCAAGTTCAGAAATTTTGAACGAAAGTAACTAGTCCTCAAGGCTTTTCAAGCCAGCTGAATGTTATTTGGTGAGAATAAATATCTGTGAAGAAAAGTGTGAATAAACAGGTAGTGGAGTAGTGGGTGCCGGAGCATACACGGTCATACTTACGCAATTGCTCATACCTATAAGAGTTTAGTGATAAAATTTCACTGAGATATAGAGTTGGTCTCTCCTCCCCAGTGCTGCTCGGGGTATAGGCGAAACAATGAAGTAAAGAATTATCACTTCGTTGCCAAACAAACTCATGCTGTCCACCTCCTCACCACAACGCTGAGTTAACTCATCTATCTTAACATTTGCTCCTACAGTGGAGGTTGTAATTTTGTTTGTAGAAAAGCGGTCATGAAACATCCACCATCCACTCAACCTTTAAAGCGTTTGCCAAAGGCACAGGTTACAACATGGGGTTAAGTTTGTCAATCGAGTACAAGATAAACATGCACAATGGAACGATCGGACTGCGGCAGCGTCGGTTTTTTCACAGCAAAGGAGCTGTGTGGTGCCCAGTCCGTATCACTGAGACTAAAGTGCTTGCCTAGAATGGTTAAAAGCTTGTCAGAGATTGAATGAGTCATCGTCCGTCCCCCACTACATCAGATGGAGTTCAAGGTGAATAGCCTGTGCGAAAATTGACAATCACCCAGCCTAATCAGGTGCAGTAAATTGGTGTCCCCAGAACCGGGTATTTGCGTACGCCGGTTGTGTCGACAGCCATTTCAAACTTGAGGACCGTTACAGCTGTTGATATCCGCACCTGCATATGTGGGGCACATGGACGACACAATTGTTCAACGAATGCTTTTCCACTTGATGTGGGTGGGTTTGAGGTCAGCTGCATGGTGGTGAAAAGATAACGGTTGTTATTTGATGGCACAACTGTGCTTTATACTTGGATGCAATGAAATTACCACAATGTTCTCGTTAAACCCACAATGAAGTACGAACATTGAGTTAGAAGATCACGTTGATGACAAATATCTGACGTGCGGTTTCACACAAAAAGCAACAGAGGGCAAAAAACGTGGTGCTATACACATAGCCATTGGGTACTATCTGTAAGCCACTTCTAACAAAGGCAATGAACCGCTGTTCAGATGCGAGTTCTGCGGATTAAGAGACGGAGCAACACAGGATATGCTCGTTGGTACTAAGGTACGTGGCAATATTTCTGACTTTGCAATAGGTTATGGGCAAATACGTGGGAATGAAAACATGAATGCGCAAGCTTTGATGTGCTTGACTCAGCATAACCACGAGATCAAGACACTAAATATGGATGACTCAACGTCATCTTAACCGATTTTGTGCAAATACTCCAAATTATTGTATATCAATGTGGTGTTATTCGCAAGTAGCTTCCGTGAGTGTCCTATCGCAATCCCACCATGCTGTAATTTAGTGTCACAATCTTCATGATTGTTACGAAGACTGTGCTGTCTAACAGACATAGCAGGGCCACCGAAGTAAACCAAATTCAACCCACCGCGCTATGGATACTAATCGTTTAAGGACTGTGATAAAAGATGCATGTGAAACCGTGTTCGTCTGCAAACAGACTTTATAGCGAACTCTGTAGGCGCAGCTAACCCCTACGGTGCAATTAACTTTTGCGTCGTGTCTGTGGCTCCGATATGACCCACCGTTAAACGGGCAACAAAACAATGATGTGGATGCACATTCAACTTAAATTGGCTGTACATAAAATTTTGAGTTGTCGAGAACAAGTTGATGGGTAAAATCTTCCATACATCCTATATATCAAACCATAGTGATCTCCTACCTTGTTTAACGGCTTGTCTACATTTAGATGAAGCTTACGACTTCTCTCCTTGTAAGTGAAATTCGATCAAATCACGGAGAAATAATTGTGAAATTCAAAGACAATCATCCAAATGTAACAATTCAAACTAAAATGGTCGGTTGGCTTGGACTGCAACGGGCTTCTAATACCGAAAATCAAATGACAACCTCGGCAAAGTATTTGTTAGGGGACGTTTAGGTTGTTTGGCCATGAGCATCACACCGCAGCTCGTCAAATAGCGAGGTGACAGCATTCATCTGATTGTCAAGAAATTTTAAATATTTTGGACTCTAATGAATGTGATGCTGAAAACAACTAGATCCGTGTGAAGAATCCAGTGCTGTTGAGGATACTCACTAACGTGCAGACAGCTGACATACTCTAACGGGATCCAGAATGATTTGAAACATCTATGATGTTAGAACGTGATCAGGAGCTTACGCTGGTGAAATGGTCGTAGTGAAAAACAATGTGTTGTAAGGAGAGATGCATCTTGTCTTTGAATGGTCAAAGACACGTGTACTCCTATGTAACGCGGATAAATGCAAGATGGTTCACCGAAGTTATCAACCAGACGTAGTCTAGCTAGGCTTCCGGACAGGTTACCTCACCCGTTGTTCACATTTCAGTGTTATTCTTCCGTGGTGTACTGGCCTGATGATAAACCACTGAAAACAAAGCTTGTTCGCTAACCCTTTTTCCAAGTTGCATTTACATGCTGGAAGACCACATCTTGCACGCCGTCTCACAAGAGCGCGACTTTACTGTAGCGATTCAGGATGACTTCGTCTATTCAGAGAAAGCTGTGCATGTGTTTAAAAAAATGGGTACTAATACGTCGGTTAACCACGGGGACCGTCCGGGCGGTTCGGCCCCTCAATCTTCTCACAACTGATCAAGGTATGGGGCATACGCAATTCAGTCCTAGCAACCTTAAACAAAACGTGATCTGGCTGCATTCTGGACCCCACAGGGAAGAGCAACTGAAAACGTAAATGGACTAATCCACCTGACCTATCAAATGTGATAGAAGACCGTGGGAGTGTAGAGTAGAAGGTATCGCCGTCTATCAGGTGGTCACATTTTGGTCTACCAGACCTTGAAAAACTCCAATTACGTTTGTCCCTACATCCTGAAACTTATCTAAAACATCAAACTAAAGCTCCAACTGGTGAAGCTAGCCGCACTACACAACCAGTTGGACTGTCGTCGAAAATTTCCCCATTGCTTGTCGACCGTGGGATTCTGTTCAAACTTAAGTCATTTCTACGCACATGTTGCCCATTTTACAAAAAATTTGCCGTTATAACAACTTTAGCATTATGCGAAAAAGCCGGCATTCATCGCGATGCGACAAAATGCAGGCAAAAACTGCGCTAACCTTTATCCCAAGGAAACTGGATAAGCAGATTCACATGCAAACTGTCATGAGACTACAGATGCACAGTTTGCCGTGCGCGTAAGTAATTTTCTTGGAACGTATGCAAATCCCGCGGACCATTCTACCGGACTTGTTAAGCAGCAGTATTATTCCCGGTATTATACCGTTGTTCAGTTGTTCAACAGTTTGTTGCTTTCAGGGCATGGAGTGACCCTGATCGTATAGGCTTGCAAGTAGTAAAATAATTGTGTCACATTACACAAAAGCACAAGCAGATAAGAGATTATTTCACTCACCGAGACTTCTGCACCCTCAGTAAAACGTGTTGTTGGTTGGGTAAGTTGATCCAAAACTTAGTGTGCATGAAGTGGGTCCCCTGAAATTCAAAATATGTCGCTGTAGCTTCTCACAAATTGGGAAACAATATGCCATCCGATCAAATTCTGAAACGGTCTAGCAAGTAGCTCACAAAATTCACAAGACAGGGGTATGGACTGAAGTCCTATGGAAACCGGAATTTACTTAGAGCTCAGATACTGCTAAAAAGTTATTTTGCAAGTACGCGCTGAAGACGCCACCTTGCTTTTTGGCGAAACGTCTGCAGCTCATTTCCTCAGCTTTGCATCAAGTGTACACATTGTGCCATCTCGAGAGAGTTCCCAAAAACGGTGAAGGGCGATCTTCAATTAGGTACACACTGTCGAATGAGGTACCCCACAGTCGGGCGGAAGTGCACCTAATGGGCTGCATAGGATCATGTGAAATTATGACGAATGAACAAGAAGACGATGTTGGGATTAGACCCAGGTGGGACTAGAGGACAAGCGGAACAGGCCAGAAACGCAATGCAGTGGTGATCAGTTTGGCCACCAACATAAACATCTGTAGTTAGAACAGTATCACAATATAGACGAAGACGTACCGTACATGTATAATACTTCTTATTTGTAGATAAGCTATTTTGAGCGAGTTGCATCCCTGATTTAACATTATGGGGATTCTGTCAAGTTCCAAGACAAAAACGGTTAAATGAATTACTGATATTTAAGCAAGCAATTGTAGTGCAAAAAGAGAATTGGTTAGTGAGGATTGATGAACACATTGTGTCTGTTCCTGATTAGCCATCGAAAGTTTAGCCGTCGTTTAAACAACATAACCCATTGAGCAGAAATACTTGCAGTCTTTCTCCGATTCTGAGTAGAGAGTATCTACAAGTAGATCAGTGAAGTTCATAACCACTGGTAGCATAAGCGCCTTTGAGAGTGATTCTATTGAACGGTATGCACTGGAAGCATCCATCATCATCTATATATGGCTTTCAGCGGAAAATTAACCCGATCACTTTGGTTTTCAGATGCCGCAATTAAAAATTTTTTTTATTGGCCATCTATCCACCGAGAAGTATTCGTGTTAGCAGAGAGCGCTTAGCAGTGTGTAAGAAAACTGAATTTCTACAGCTGTTGCCTATTCGTCGGTACATCAAACGTTGGGTTCATCAGCGACTTTAGTTCACACATATTAGCTGGATTCTGTATCTAATGTAGTTCGCGTCACATTTTCTCTGCGACTACGTACCAGTAGGAACTTTTGCTAAGTTATTTGAAGGGCTGCTTAATGTGAACTAAATATGACTTCACAGATTCCATGGTCAGAAGATGCATACATGCGGGACTGAACGTGAAAGTGATCTAATGTACAGCAGGGCCAAAAGGGATATTTAGGAATTTTAAAATAAAAATTCACATAAAATTAAGAGATTCAATACAACTGATCACTACATTGTGCTTTGAATAAAACCAATCGAACCAGATAAGGTCAGAAACACGACTTCGCATATTTAATGAACACTGGATTAAAGTGAATACCTTTATGAACAGATGGAGTGGACTTAAACAGTTAGTGTGCACACCAAAGTAGCCGAGTACTGCAACGCAAAAATAGCTTGTCTAGTCAGAAAAACTACGCGCCAAAGCTACGGAGAATACATGGATAAAAGGAATAACAAACACCAACTAATCGAGTTGCACGGAGCCCATGGGAATTCTACCGAGTTTCTGAGGCTAAAACATTTCAGCCAGGAACCGCAAGTGACATCCGAGACAACGATCTGAGAAAGCGGTACATCAAAGTGATCGAGATAGAGTTTATTTTGATTACTTGTTTGACCAACATTGCGGTCATTGCACGATGCAGTGCCTTGGTATGAAGACCTCTAGAGAGTAAGCTAATGTGGCTGATCCAAAACAACCTGTCGTTGTTTATAATTTGTCACGACTGAGAGAACAATGAGAGCAAGTGCTTCTATGGATTTTGTCTGAATTTCTAGATAATCGCGATTAGTCTGGTCACTAAGGGAATTGCCACGGTCTAATAGGCCGACTGACAAATGCTATGGAAGCAGACACACGCACTAAAATTGCCGGAACGACCATCCAGCTGTACTTCGCCTTTGAGGACACTGAACAAGTTGGGATCAATTTAGTTTTTAAACAAAGATGCGGGTTTGAAAGCATGGAAGATCCGGTCCGGTCGAGGTTTCTAGAGTAACGATAGCCTCTAACATGCTTGTGAAATGTAGTTTGTCGCATAAACGAGTCCATTCATATGTTAGCGTCGTTTCACCCGATTCTGTATGCGATCACCTAAGAGTCCGTTTTGAGGCAAGTTGTACTTGCAGACTGCTCCCGCATCATTTAAAATAAAGCAGATAAAACGTAAAAATGAGAGACAAATGGTAGAGACTACCAGGATATAAAAAGTGCAAAGAGGCATCGTGATGTGACGGTGCACGTCACACATGGCGAGGAACAAAAGCTGGAGAACCTCTCGGGCAAACTATACCCATTTTCTAAAGGTCAACCCCTTTTGAAATCTACCTCTGTGTACTGTACAAATGGTTGGGTTGCAACACATCGGTGACACAGAATAGAACAGAAAAAATTACAAGAGTGACTGTAGCCCGCAAGATTGCCAGTAGATGAAAGTGGAAATTGTGCAAACTCCCTCATCAAGGGTAAACGAAGCAGTTAGAACCAAAACCGGGACAAATGCTAGTCAATGGTATTTGTGTGTTCACCCATAATGTATTCGATGTGCGTCCCACGGGTGCGTGCAGCTTCACCACATGTTCAATTGGTCGCCGCACAGAGGGAAATCATATATACACCACGCGGCAAAGTCGTGCACCTCATACAGAATGTTACCCTGTTGGTCAGTGACTCCACCATCTACTGTAGCAAGACGAGCTTCGATTAAAGGTCACTAACCTGTTTCGATGTGCGTATTCATAAAATATCTAAACCCCATCTGCCTGCGGGAATTGCGCCTCCGAAAAGAACACGAACATGTGCACTTACGCTAGATACACATTGGTTAATAAGGTAGGAGTTGCTAAGCGATCACTGCCTCGTCCCATAGTAGAATAAGTTAAACGAAACCGCAGGAATTCAAAAGAAAACGTACCCTTCTTCCGGCTGTTGAGGTACCAAACTTTGAACGCGTTTTGCGGTCTTGATAAGGGAAGATTAACGCAAATGGTCTGGGAAGTGAGGCCAGAAGCAAATGATCTGTACGCAACTGCGCTTGCAGAATTGGGTCTGTAGATAAGAAGGTGGAATGGAGGTAGAACTGGTGCAGACTAGAGTCAGACAATGGAAAATAAGTGAAATAATTGGCATATATAAAATCATATGGGTTTGTAGCTCACAGACAAATAAGTTGAATTAATTCTGAACACCAGGGAAAAGCTAGAGAAGAAAGCCACTTTGAACACGAGCAATAGCAACACTGTTATTAACTTGGCATGGACCTGGAATCCGAGCCATGTGTAAATCACGGCTACATTAAAAGCTGTTGCAACAATTCAGTACAAAGCTTGCCAAAGATGCACCGGAAAAATAGTTCTTGTCGTTGTGCAATACACAGGACGACAATTTAAGACTTACGTGATACATTAGTCAGTGAAATTTCCACGGAAAAACAATGCACTGTAATGTGAGAAATTCCTTTGTCCATCAACCCAGAGTGCATCAATATTAGGTAATACCAATTTCGCCGCCTAACTCGCAAAAGTACAGTAAACCACATGAACTACATGCTCGTTTATGCAATGCAATATTGTTAGCATTCTGTTAGAAACTGTGGCGAACGCGCCTAAACGACTGAACACATAAACTTGTGGCAACACCATTGTGGCACATAAGCAGAGCTCACACCCGCAGAAGAGTGACGACGAGAACTCCTGCCAGAACAGCAGGTGTCGCTGATTTCACTCCGGCGTAACATGCTTGGCGGCATCCGGTTCCCGATTCGCTTGTCACTGTGGCCTCTACGGGGACAGCCAATAGACGCCTGCGCCTACTAAGGGACTATGGGTCGCTTGCACTGCACCACACACAGCTCCATCCACCTATGGCGGGGGTGCCAAACGCCTAAGCGTGGTTGAAGAATGACTAATAAAACGTGGGTGAGAGATTAATGCACTCATATGGCAGTGAAGCCACATGGTACGCAGTCGAAATCCCAAAGTTACCACATAAGCCGAGAGTCATTAAGTTACCCATTGGAATAACCTAGGGTAAAGTTATCGTGAGATACTCGTCATATGAAATGGGAGCAGGTAAATATCATAAATGTCATATCATGTCGTCATAATACACCCCTTGCACCAGCAGGAGCGGTACGGAACACATATCAATGCACGTAGACAGTATGTATGCCCCAGCCGTCTCAATCAGCAAATGGTGCTCTTCGCATTTCTCAGCACAGCAGCGATATGAATTTGGCGGAAAAGCACTCATTTGGTGAAACTTGGGAAACAAGGATCATCAGTTGGGCCTGCCATCCGTTGACAGTGGAATTACATGTAATCACTCCTTTCGTATTTATCTGGTAAGCCTGATAACAATGCGTATTCCCGGGGTTATATTTTGTGCAGTGGTCAAGCTGAGTGGCCTGGTCGCAATGCAAGTGTAATGGACAGATTTATCGGGGATGCCAGAAGCATTATAAGAACCTAGGTTTATGGCTGAAAAGAACACGTTTGACAGTAGATTTTGGTATCAAATTAATCCCCCTGCATCAAGTGGCCAAAGGTATTTGATAGCGGACATGCAGTAAATGAAACCGCATGGAATTTTGCACACGAGATCCGGTATACAAGATAACGAGTTCAGTGAATTCAAGCCCAAGTGAAAAACATGGATGTTCGGGATTACAGTCTCAACTCCGGCCACTACTATCAGAGGAGCTTAGAAAAGACGACGCCCTAGTGAATTGTGGCATTGACAGAGCCTGAACAACAAAATCAGATCCCAGTGAAGCCGCCTATCAAATCGTGGTTCAACATTGAGTGTAAACCGCTACCTAAACAAACAGGGGGTATTATTTTCCCACATAGTAAGAAAGTAGTTGCGCAACGCGTCTCTGGTGACCCGGGATTAGTGTGAATGCAGAAATCCAGCTCGAAACACAATGAACGACGACTATGCTATTACTGAGCCATAATAAGCTAATTATCCAAAAGACACCTGTTTCTACCACTTGGGGATGACAACCTGAATAACGGTATTTGGTTCCACATCTTAAACAGCGTACGTCAGAGATTATGAAGCGATGTCAACGTTTCAGAAAACACACACAAACCATAGCAGCACGATTCGCACAATAGCTTACATATGCCCGTGTTCAGTTTCAATTGATCAACTTTCCCCTTCCACAATGCCATAATGTAGCCATCGAACACTGAAGCTGATTCATGTCCAATGCAAATAAACAGCTTCCTCGTCTAACGTTGACCGTAGTGGGCTCGCATGCATACACATACCTACAATTAGGCAGCCCTCGAAACATTGTGACAGGCTGACTCAGACTATGGAACAAAAATGATGGTAGCTATCAGACTGGTGTGTCTATGCGTTTGTGCGCGTTTACGAATGTCAGTTCATAGTCGCGGTGCTTTTGTGCCGCAACCGTACCTTGCGTGCATTGTACCACTAGTGGATGAATGAGGCAAAGGAAGTGTATGCATTTGATCGATCCTCTAGCCCTAATGGTCAACTGGTATACGATGTACGTTTCAAAGATATGGTGGTCTTGCGTGCGTTATCCTTCCCTAGCCTTTAGATTAAGTATCACTAGAGAAAGAAGCGCTGCCCATAGTCCCTAGTACCAGTTAAAGTTTATGCCCGACGTCTCATGTGAAACGGCAGGTGAGCCCTTCACACAAGGTAGGGAAGACTGGCCTTCGCAACGCATGAATGGTAAACCTGAACTAAAGCTGGTATATATTTACTTTCTAATTATCGGATAATTTTCTTAATTACCCCGATGCTTACACCATCGTGCCCCTGCTGATTAGGTGTTAATCAACCTCTGAACCAGTTATACTGTGACAAAGTGGTATTAAACGAAAAGGTATAGACTTGCATTAGTACGAAGCGCGTCCACATTGCTATTTAATGAGGATGGTTCTGTTTCGGTATTTTTCAATGCATCTTAATAGGATCATTCAAGACCATAATAAATGGAGTGCCAATGCATCTTGCATTTGTTTGCCATGAGTGGAAGCTCACCCATTCAGTGGAAGTCTAGCGGAATATCTGACGGAAAATGAAAACTATGAACATTTAGCCTCGGCGTCAGAACTTGATAGCGGCTCATCTTTGGTTATCCACGATCTATCGGACAAGCCTGCTTCGGCAACTATCTATCCAGATTTGGGCTGCAAAGATCCTATCGCAATGAATTTCGCCACAGGTAGTTCAAAACAAAAAGCTAGGTCACCTCTGAAGAGGAACCAAGTGACGCTTTGACCCCCCCCCCGTTATCTGAATAGCGCAGAATTTCCTAAAAATGTACGTGGCTCGAACACGCTATAACTTTGTCACACGTTGACTGCTGTCATCAGAATCCCAACAAAAATTTTATTTCGAAAAGTATTCCCTGGGTTCGAATCGACTGAAGTCGTGTTCTAGTTTGCTATTGGTCATATATTAATTACATCAGGTGTAAGGAGAACTGCCTTTCGTTATTGAGTACCAAGCACAGAGTGGATATGATAAAGACTTGCCTGTGAAATGGTGGCTGAAAATCGTGGGTGATTCGGCTCAAGCGCTTTTCTGTTGTTTTCATTTATACCCACAGACGAAAACTGCATTCAACCGCAGGATTTCGAGTTGCGCTCTAGTCGCAGGCCCAAAGTTTAGAGTTGCATATAACATACGATACAAGTTTATAAGCAAGCTGGTTCTTTGAATGGTGGATTGAGAGCAGCAGGTGAACAGCAATGGTAGAATCTGTACGGACCAGCCCTGTCTTTTACGCCTGTAATTTGCGAGGGGATGGAGGATGAGTCTGCTACATCGCCGTTTGATTTTAAGTCACGATGGTCCGTCACCTTCCCACATGGCGAGGCGCAAGCTGCTAGTGTCGAGTGGTCGTGGGTTTCACTACTGATGGAGCAATGGAAGCTTACCACGGAATTCTTAGCAGTAAAAACCGGCGGGACTGGCGGTTTTCCCGAGACTTACCTAGACAGCTGATCTGCAACCGCCACGATGAACTTCAATAAAGTGCAAGAGAATGCTAATTAAACTACGTGTAGTAATGGTGCCATAATTCCGTGTTACCAATCCAGAGGTTCATGGTTAAATACTAAGCACAAGCTGATCCAGAAAGATTAGAACAGCAGCAAGTATCACCGGGATAGCGGACGGGAGTTGAGTGTTACTCATTAGCAGCACTGCAGTCCACGACCAGTCTCGGTCTCAGTTGCACTCTGCAGGTAGAGGCACCCAACCTGATACTTGTACTCGGAACATAACGATTACCAATGAACCTTATTACCTAGTGGCGTGACATCCACAGAGCACCTGCTCCGTTGTGCGAGTAATCAAATTATGCTGTTGGGTGTGCGAATGTCCGCGGTTCAAACCAACAGCTGAAGCGTGCTGCATTGGACTGGTCTTACACTGGAATGGGAATTTTGTTTAAATTAGTACAGAGTGAATTAAAACAAAATGATGGCATTCTGAGTCGTTGAAACTACCTTCGTCAGTTTGGTGATGTGACTCTTGTTCAAAACATAAATGAAGTAAAACAATATGGGCATTTTGCTGCAGTTTCCCATAAGGATTGCGGTTGAGTGTGGAAATGGGCGCCCATTCATCACACCAACGATTGACAACGTTTTTAACTAGAGCACCGTGATGGTAGCACTAAGGAAGCCATCGGTGTGTGGGACAGCTATTCACATGATTGATAGAAGCGATAAATATTCTGGACTTGGTCGTGAAGCGTACGTCGATTGATTACTTGATAAATCTGAAAGAGTACTGATTAACATAACAGTGAAACAAAATATACCAAACAAAATATACCAATAAAGGTCTGAAAAATCGGCAACATTTGTTGAAGTCACTGCACCCGTGCTGTTATTCAATTTGTAAATCACAAAGGTGGAAATGCAGGAAAGTAAGATTGCACAATTTCCCTTGCTGAGAAAACTCGTACATTATGGGTATATAATAGAATTTTGGGACACAATTGACAAAAGTGCTATCGTTTCGATCGAGAAATTGGTGAAACTTTTCCTGTA